GAGAACTGGAACCCAGAAACCAGAAATGGAGAGGAAGCTAAGTGCTGTATCAAAGGAAGCGTGACTCTTAAGTGCCGAGACGGTAGCGGCATTGTTCTTTTATGAGGAGGCGCTCATCATCCGTCTGTGATGTGTTTTTTTTTTTTTTTTTTTTTTGGGGTTTGACAACCCCCCGTGAGAGTTAAATCCACACAGTCGGAGCTGTTAGGAGCGAGACGGGCTGCGGCGGAGTCTGAGTTCTGAGTCTCCGGCGGGATTGACACACATCCCACCCACAAACCTTCCCCCGGTCATTCCCCCGGTCATTCCCCTGGCACCGATGGCCGCTCGGCTCCCTTCTCAGGTCACTTTAGCGCCGCTGGTCATTACTGACATCTGCAGGCCAACCCTGTCAGTTTCAGCTACCCCACCCATGACCTCCGCATCCGTCACCATGGCTTTTTTTTTCATTTTTCTTTTCCTACTCGGCTCTAAGATTCTTGGCATGGCAGAGCTTGTCCTATCGGTCAAAGCCAGACAACTGAAATGAGATGGCATTTGATTTATTTTGGGAAGGGGGTCTACTACCACACCGATCCATTACAGTGATTGTAGTATTTGATTAGATTTTTGATTACTTCATTGGGACATTTTTATCTGTTTGATTCAAAATATTTATTTTTGTCTTGTCTTCATCTTTTTGTGAGAAAATTACCCAGAAGTATACTAATTTCTACCTCCCGTATTGTCATCTGATAATTGGCTTCTAGGATCCCGTCATTTTGTTTTCCCTCAACATAAGTAACCCAGCTTTGTTTGTCAGTGTTTTTAATACCCACTTTAATTATAATCCTCATCAAGATTCATCAACCGCATCTCATTTTAATTACAGAGCAGTGTCGCTTATCCTCTTCATTATTCATCGTAATATATTGTTCCTCTTTATTCTGCTTTGCGTCTGAGCCGCCCTCCGCTTTGCGTTTGTTTACACTCAGTTTTATCCGGACTGCATCTTTGTTGATGAAACCTCTCCCTAATCCTGCTGGTCTCGGCTGTAGTGGAGGCATCTGACTGAGGCGAAAACTTCCTTTCTCTTTGCTTGGCAGCGGTTTTAGTAACGTAGTAAAGTCCGTTTGTCTTAAAAATACAGCGTCAAATCGTAAAAATGTTGTCAAACCAAGCCAATTCCAAATAGTTTGAGAAATGGAATACGATTTGGTATAAAACAAGTATATTTTTGGCGTCCGAGTCTCTGATTGGTAAAGATTCTGTCTTGGAAATCTAAGCTTGGACTCCGGCACACATTCGGAAATTAACCGTGAGACTTTATTCTTTTCAGCGGCATCAGATCTGACCACACGACCTATCAGTGACCCGGACATCACTCCTCTCTCACAGGTCCTACAGCTTGCCTCCTAAGCTTCCAAATGTCGATGCTAGTGAAAAGAAAAGGACACTATTATCAGGGATAGGCATAGTCTCAGTTTGGCCACCATTGATTTCAAGATGATTTAACATTTTGTTGGTAAAACAGTAAATGATCGCACTTTGAATTTTTTAAATTAAGGTTTCACTGAGACAAAATAGATTTATGGGGTTAGATTGTTGGGATCTGCATTTGTGGATGATTATTCGGGTTGAAATATTTGGGGATTTGATTTAAATGGATACCCATTTTTAACTGTTAACTGTGTTTTAAACTCCTCTCTCTTCTTTCATTTTCCAAACTGCAAGCTTTTCTGGTACCTCAAACCAGCCACTCCCAGACTTGAAAGCTACCAGACGTGATCTGTTAATGGTATCCAGGTCCCTGAAAACCATAATGCGTCTCTAAAGGGACCAGCGTTGCGCAACAATGCTACGGCCGTCCAAGCTGGTCTGGGCTTTCATGTCCATTTTGGGGGCAGAGGAACAGGACACCCAGGCCCTCAGTCTTTTCCTTAAAAACTGCAACCAGAGCACGTCTATTAGAACCAGCACACTGGATGCATCCCTCTGCCGTGGTCTGTTAGAGCGAAATCATTTATTTTACTGAGATGGAATTGAGATTGTTCTGGAGAGATAAATGAAATCATGAGGGACTTGAAATCTTCCTTTATTTTTTTGCCCTCTCCCGGCAGATGGAGGGGGCAAAGAATTTTTTTTTTTCAAGCAGCAATAAACCATGATATGAAGCAAATGCCAGCTAAAGAAAGAAAGAAAGAAAGCAGTAACAGTGTGGTCTGTTTCAATCCTGTCCAGAATGTGTTTTTGAGCTGCCATGTTTATTTTGACGGCGTATGGCCTTGTTCCTCATCGACTCCGGCTGCCGCGTTTAGCTTGGACCAAATCTTTGCCGTCCCCCTTTGATTACAGCGGATGAAAGGTGATCTCTGGAGATGTTGGGGCTCTTGGCAGCAACTGCCTCAGAGAAAGCATGATTGGTTCTTGACATGATAGAACCGTACAGCTGAAGGAACCCTCGCCCATTTATATTTAATCGTCCGGCTCTCATCCTTAATGCATGAGGGAAAATGGGAGACCCCCTTTCTTTACCCCACCCCCATCCCCCACACACCCCTGATTTGGCCTGCTGGGAGAGGAAAAGAGGAGGATTAGAGCGGGATTAAGTTTGTGGTGTGAAGAGGAGCCACGAGACCTCCGCTTCCCCCCTTCACCGGATTCCTCCCCTCTGTCCTTTACATCCCAAACATATTTAACATTTTATGCCCTTCCCATTCGCCCAAAGGATCACAAGGAACTTTTAAAATAGCGTTTGTTTGGGTGTCTGAGTAGGATGGCTGCTCCTCCACTTAAGCGGAGATGTTGGATTATCAGAGCAGTCGGCAACACCATCATTTACAACAAAATCCAGAATTAGTCGGGCTATAATGGAGGATAAGCCTCCGTTAGGCGATTCCAACAGCATGGCGCAGACATTCAACCCCATCTCTAAATTCCCTGGCATCCTTCTTCCCCCTCTAAATCAGCAGTGTGATTATCACATTCATCTTAAACACTGTCCCACATCTCTGTAGGGCGGCGTTTCCCCGATATCCAGCTTTAGTTTGCAGATGTCTGGATCTAAGCGTGACCCTTTTCACTCCTAAAGACATAAAGATCATGAATAGTGAGGGGATAAGGGGGAAATCCACCGTCCACTGTTGTCAACACACTTTGATCCAAAGCGACTTAGAAGGATCCAAGAGAATTAAGTGCATCTGAGATGGCAGTAAAACCACAAACAGTCCTGTGTCAGGATTTTTTTCTGTCCTCTTTATTTCTTTTTAATATTATAAGTACCTTAAAATGCCTCATATAAGTGTACGACTTTGTTTAAATCAGCTATCGCGCTCTGTCTTCCTTCACTTGTTTTTCCCACCCGTTATCATTTGACAAACTTTCGCCAAAGGGGCCGGTTCGGCTGTGAGCTTCAGGGCAGAGAGTGGAGTTATGCGCGCACGTGAAACGGGGTGCGATTTAGTCAATAACAGCAGCAGCCTTAAGCTCGTCCGCGGATCAATATCTGAATCTCACAATACATTACATGGCTGTGCTTAACAAGAAATGGATTTTACTTAAACGCTCCATTATTCAAGACTTAGACACTATTCTAAAGTCATTATGTGTGCGTGCGAGTTAGAGTGGAATATTGTATGAGTAGAAGTCCGTTATTTCTAGTAGACTTTTAACATTGCTGCTCTCATTCTGTTTAAACCAAATGTGCTATTTAGTGGAGCTTTGATTATGAGAATACAGCGTCATGACATTTGATTTTTATTTCTGGATGTAAAACTCCACCTTTTTTCCTTATGATACACTTCTCATTCACCCATTGAACTTCTGTGGCTCCACCCCTGCCCGCTGCGTTTCCCTGTGGGTTTAAAGAAGGGGGGGGGGGGCTTAAGTGCTGATGAGGTTGTACGGTACAACGGGCCTATTAGGAAAGAGCACCGAGGGGGCACAGCCCCCAGACCCGCCGTCTTTAATATTGCATGGCGGCACCATGGTTGCTTCCAGCCTCAGCCTCAGCCTCCAGGCTTCACAAACGCTTCGAGCGGCTCGGGGGAAACAGCGGCTCTGAGCGTCTGAGCGATCGGGAGATGGAGGAGATGTGCTGCAGGTTTTCCTGGTGTCGCAGGAGGACGTCCTCCCTCACCCTGACTTTGCCCAGGTCTCAGCCGGTAAGCCTCCGGGTTCAAAGGCCAAGAGGACGCGGATGAGGGGGCCAAGCCTGTTCAGCCATGGGGGCGAAACGTTGCTTCAAGGGGTTGTTTTTAAAAAAAAAATCCGATCTATATTCTATTTTGAACATTGAAATCTGGAGAACTCAGCTAAGAGGAGAACCTGCAGTCATGTCAGGAGGACGTGTTGCTTTCCTCACCAGCTCGCAGACTGAGGAATATCTGTTGTGTGATTAACGCGGAGTAAAATGTTGTGAAATAACTGGAATGTACACACGGTTTGTAAAGGATTTGTAGGTGCAGTGACGCGCTGCCTGCTGCACAGATGTTTCTCTCAGAGCAGAGGGGTATCTTCCGTTTCAGTTCGGGTGATTCATTCTGAAACTGGACCGCTGTGTGAGCACGAGTCTGAAGTTAGACTGCACTTTCCTAAGACTGACGACACAATAGTATCAAGCAGCTTAAGTTTATGATGATGATGCCTTGATTAATTTGTTTTAGAGGTACGTAGACTTTTTTTTTGGGGTGGATTATCGATGCGCTTGCCCCGGTAATCACTTAAAATGTCATTTGCGTGTATTATGGAAGGCTGGGGTTTATGTTTTGGTACCTTAACTCCCTGCTCGTTGGAATTTACAGCCATCCGAAGCGTTTTCAGCTCTGACCTCCACATGTTAATTTTCCTGAAGTACAGCATGTCAGGCCATGCCAAAGCAGCTTTCAGCTGATGAAACCGCCGTGTGTGTGTGTGTGTGTTTGTGTGTTTTCCTCCATGGCACGGCAGTTGCTCGAAAGTTGTTGTTTTTTTGTTTTTTTCACACCTCCTTTGCACTAATGTCATTTTTGCTCTCTCTTCCTCCGCTCGGCTGAACCCCGGCTGCTTCCTGTCTGAACAGCTTCCTGCCGACCTCAATAAGATGCACCTCACCGACCACGCCCACCAGCAGGTCATGCACATGGCTCCCAGCCAATCGGGATGCAGCATCGCCAGCGACTCGGGGAGCAGCAGCCTGTCGGATATCTACCAGGTGGGTGCGCCTTTGTTTGTTTGAAAGATGCAAAAATCTTTTGCACGTTAGTTTGGTTCCTACTAATGACATCATCGAAATATGCAGGCCGCTCACTGACTAGCCGCACTGTTTTTGAAACCAGCCCCTCACTTTACCAGGTATTTTCATTTGAGAGAAAAAAACAACAACTTTTGATGAATAAAGAATGAAGCTCCCCTGGCTCCATTAATGCATGAATAATCATACAGGATGAAGCCTATCTGATCCAGCCTCCCAGCTACCGTCGGCATCGTGTCACTTTTCCCGAAAGGTCTTTTTTATTTTTCTGGCAGGTAAATCTCTTCACTTTGATGCTCTCTAAATGTGGATGCTCGCGCATAGCTGATCGGTCCACCTCTCACCATTTTCTCCTGATAATCCCTCTCTTCTCGGTAATTATTGCACATCAGTCGCGCATCCTGGTGACTCGTCTACCTCTGCCCCCAGCTGCGGATTAAAGGCCACACGCAGGAAATGAACCTAACCTTTGCAGCTCCATATTTACCTGTCCTGCAGGTAGAAGAGCTGCGACCGTGTCGGTGTCGCTGAATCTGTTTTTTTGAGTGTGACATCTGATGCGCAAAACCTGTCTTCTTATAGATTTTTGTCTTACCCCTTTGGGTATCTCTAAGAAATGCACATAGGTCAAGTTCAATGCTTTTACTTGAGATAAACGAAGAAACAAACATAATACACCTTAAAAAAAGGCTTTTCAGGCTTTAAATTGATTAAAACGAACTAAAAAACAAAACTCAATATCATCTGGATGGTTATTCAGGCGAACTTGAATATTAAAAAGGTGTTATAATGGGATTCAGACATATAAAAGCCCAACGGGGTCTTGCACTAACACGTACTTCTGATTTCCGGATGCCACGGGGCTGCTGAAGCTGTGACTGACACGGTGGACCGGCCACAAAAGGAGAGCACGAGGGAGTGGATTCACATTCAATAGGAGCGGAGAGCTTTAGAACCTATTTAAAAATGGAATCTCTTTCAAAATGCTGGCATCTTCTAATCCCGCATTCACAACAATTTACCTCTCTCCTTTATTCTCTGACATTTCTGAGCGTTAAGCAGCTTTGCGCACGTCGGAATGGAATGCCTCTCGTGAGTCCAGAGTATCTAAATGGCGACAAATCAATAATACAGAAAGGAGAGCACGATAAGCCAGACATCTAATCATTTTAATCCTTCGGTTCGTCTAATCTCCCCTCTTACACAGAAAGTTGTTGTAAAGCCTTCCTTTCAGCCCCCCCCCCCTTCCTCTCACTGCCAGGGAAGGATGATCGTGTCGGTCCTGCCTACAATTCCTTGTAAGCGTTTGCCATAAAAGTCAAAGTGGTTGTTTTTAGACAAAGACTTCATCATGAAGTCTGTGAGGTGGGTTTGCTAATGATCTGCTCTAAAAGGTGGTGTGATGTCTAGGCAAAGCCCACATCACTAATGAGATTTTTGTCATTAATGTGGGATGCACGCAACCTTTTTATTCCCCCTGCAGAATTACGGTGAGAGTCGAGGCAGTGCTTTTGTTTTGCCGACTCATTTGGAAAGAATCGGGTCATTTTGTCTGGCTTGGTGCCAGTAAAAACTCCTTTTTTTTAAAACTCTGAATAGTCCTCTGAATATTCTCTGACACCTGCCGTCTGTGTTTGGCATGCCTGCGAGATTGATGCAAGTAAGTCCGGTCACTCCGGGTCAGGATCTGAACGCAGAGATCAGATCTCTTCATTCTCAGATTAGGTATTTGTGACACGGATCCGATCCCATCAGCTTCCCTGGCAGACCGGTCCTCATGTTTGTTTATGGCTGTCTTAAAGAGCTGACCTTTAAGCCGGCCGTGGACCTCAGCTGTCAGCGTACACACTCGTTGTTTTTGTCTGCGATTTCTGCCCAAAATTTTCCCCTTTTGTTTTTCCCTTCCGTTTCCTCTAGAATTTCAATTGCTGGGATCAAAAAGTCCCATGGCTCGTCCATTCTCTCGTTTATTGTGTCGGTCATTAATCACTGCTCCAATGAGGACCTGAATTCCATCTTCATCAGTATTTTCGTCTGGCTTGTCTGTTCACATCTATCACGCCGAATGAATCTCTTCCGGTGGACAGGGAACAGGAAAGGCTGACCAGCTGGTCCCTTTCTGTAGTCATCTTAGCAGCTTGTCCAACCTCATTTATAAAAACAAGAGCGGACCCGTGCCTGAACTGGGGGTGGGGGGGGGTTCAGTCTGGGCTCAATCACCTTTCCTCAGACGAGCCTATTAAACCCTTTTTGGCCCCGCTCCAGATCCCAGGAGGAACCGGCCCCACAACTGCGCCGCTCGTTAAAACAGCAGCGTGTAGACCAGGACATTACCGCGTTCCCAGCAGCTAAAATATCCCATCTGAATCTTCTCCTGTCCAGTCTACTCCTCGCCCCGGCTGAAATGGAACAGCTGACATCCTCCATCTAAATGTCCAAGTGGAAAAAAAATGATTGGCTCTACCTTTTCTCAACTCTGTCTACAGCAAACCCTGAAGCCGTGATTCGGAGGGATAGGGTAACAGACGGTCAAAACAAGGGGCTCAATGCGTCCCAAAACTATTGTCTTCAAAGAGGCACACAGGGAAGATGGTTGAAAACGTCCTTTGTTGTGGTGAATACCTCAGAAGAAGATCTTTCTGAGAAAATAATTTAAAAAAGTCAATGCTTAATCATTAAAAAACAACAGCCTTTCATTTAAACCATTAGTCTCAGTACTATTCCAAAATGCATGGACGTTGTTATTCGTCTTTCTTTGATGAACGTTAAAGCATCTCTTCCTAAAATTAGAGAGCGTTTGCATTAAAATCAGACTCAGGTTCCCAGTCTGATCCTGTAGCTCTTCAGACTACCCCAAAAAGCCAACAGACGGCTAATGCTACCACTGGAGATCTCCTCTCCAACCTTTCACCTCCGAGTTGATGGTTCAATTCCCCTACCGGCTGGAATGGCCCAAACTCTGCCAACCAGCTGTCTCCCTGCACAGGGCAAATGTGGCGCGTGATGAATTGCTATTGCTGGATTTTGGTACCTCGTTCTCTGTGTCAGAGTTTAGCGAGGTGCCACCGGTGCAGCTGGCCATTTAAACTTCACTCCGCATAATTGGTGTCGTAAAAGGTGAGCGAAAGTCCTCGAATGATAAACGGTGGAACGGCAGCAATGCAAAGATGAAATCTAAATCCAGTTCTGTACAGTTTGCTCTATTCCCGGGAAGTTCCGGATGACAAAGGTTGCCATCCCCCGAGTTTCGGTTTCCTTTATATAATCGTTGCGATTTACACTTCACTCTGTTTATTCCTCAGGCCACAGAGAGCGATCTGGGAGATGTCGATCTCTCCGGACTTCCGGAAACTGCGGTGGACAGCGAAGAAGAGGAGGAGGAAGATGAAGATCTGGAGAGGGCCTCGGACACGCTCCTGAGCAGAGACTTGGTTCGGGAGTGCCTGGAAAAGGATCCCGCTGACCGCAATGACGACGACATCGGTCAGTCTAAACCCACTTTTTTGCTTTGTCAAAGATTTGTCCATTTCACACCAACAATGCTCTTTTATTTAATCAAATTGATTGCGGTGGAAACAGTCTAAAATACGTCGGTCTGAGCTCTTGGCTGCTACTTATTTAATTAACATACAGGGTATTTGGTGCGGCGGCACGGTGGTGTGGTGGTTAGCACTGTCGCCTCCCAGCAAGAGGGTTCTGGGTTCGAATCCCAGGGGAACCAGGACCTTTCTGGGTGGAGTTTGCATGTTCTCCCCGTGTCTGCGTGGGTTTTCTCCGGGTTCTCCGGCTTCCTCCCACAGTCCAAAAACCTGCATGTTAGGCTGATTGGAGATTGGGGAAATTGCCCTTAGGAGTGAATGTAAGTGTGTGTGGTTGTTGGTCCTTGTGTGTCTCTGTGTGTGGCCCTGCGATGGACTGGCGGACTGTCCAGGGTGTACCCTGCCTCTTGCCCGTTGACCACTGGGATAGGCTCCAGTTCCCCCCGCGACCCCATGAGGGAATAAGCGGTATTGATAATGGATGGATGGATGGATGGTATTTGGTGCTTATCAGGTCTCTAAAGGATTTACATACACTGATTTGACTGTATTTTTTGGTAGATTCATGAGAAATGTAACATACAAATTCCTTCAATTTGGGTTCACCTGATTGGTTTTGGTTGGACCTGCTTTTAATTCAAACTAAACACACAGATCCAGTTAATCACACAATAATACTCAGGTGATAGTCCCATCTGTTAGGCCTCCAGTGACTTCTGGGTCTGCCGCCTAGCTTTGTCCCAGTTAGACAGGCCTGGGAAACCTCTAAAGGGAGGTAACAGGTGGGCTCTTAGTGGCCGGGTCTTGGACCCTGGGGCTCATTGAAACCCTAACAGGCAACAGGAAGTCAGTTCCAGTAGGACCTAAAGGACTGGCATGGCATGTTGTTTCTTAATGATGTGATCGAAAAGCTCCGTCAAATCTTTTTCCCCCCACACAAACTGTTTCACATTGTAACTCTCACCTTTTGAAGTTGATTCGGATTAAAATTGAGTCAATTTAAATTTTTTAACTACAATAAAACCTGTCCAATTCAAGTCAGTCCTAATCCAAATCAATTACCATCTAAATCCAATCAGTTCAGGTTTCCAAAACATCAAATTCGTGCTGTGTAAATAAAAAAAAAAAGAGGACAGAAATTCCTAACTAAGAAAACAGATTGCACCGAATCACTGCGATCCGATCCCCTATCCTGAGCTAGCATGCGGCAACTGTGAAATCTATTTAAGTGTCCACTTAAAATGTGGGTAATATGTGGTTCTGATACCCTTAAGCAGCACCGACTGCATAAGGCAGGACTGATGTTTCTGTTTGCACAGCGCATGTTACAGTTTGGGCTGCCGTGTTTTCCATTTTCATTTCATTGCTCAGAGCTAAATTAAAACAGGACTTTGAAAGTGGCTTCTGCTCCTGGTTGGTATTTGATGCGCTATCCATCATTCAGCAGGCACAGGGGAGATGCAAAAGTGGCCCTCTTCTTCTAAAGGCACTCCTGTTACGGCGTCTGAACGGCAGTGCCCTTCTAATGTCTATTTTTACTTAGCCAATTGAAGAGACATTCTCATTAGCAGGACCCAGTGGGGTCCAGGAGGAGAGGTTGGCCATATCAGAGAGCTGGGGGGGGGGAGTTGTAAAGGCCTGGCCTGCTGTGTGCCTGCCAGGGGGCTGGCCTTCTGTGCAGCACCACAGAGAATCCTGGAAGGGTTAAAGATTTACCATAACCCAAGCCATATACAGCTAAAAACAAAAACCTATGGGGAAATAATGGGAACTGAAAAACACTGGACCATGGTCACTCGGAGAGGCTTTGAGTCCAAATTAATATCCCAGATACTTTTTTTCATCCTGTAAAAGTGTGGACAAATTACATTTTGACTTCAAATCGTTGCAGATTTGATAAGGTATTAATACCTTTTATCAATTGCTGATCCTCAAATAGGCACATTTGGGGTTGCAAATATTGATACTTAATCACTGATCCACATAACACTAGTATGAAGATTTTTATCACATATGAGCTTGTGAACTCACTTATCAGTTCCCCTTCATAGTGTGAGGATTGAGAGCTCTGGTAATGTCAAATATCCGGACTGTTTTCCCCCACAAACTGTAAATAAGTGAGGAATCTATATTGTTGTCATGGGAAACCAAAACAAAACTATGACCTATACAACGCAGCATTCTGGAATGCCTCATGTTACTTACTGATTTCAAACTTCTAATTCCACGGTTACCACCTGATTGTGTTCTAGAATGAATCTAGAATGTAATGACTTCACAAAGGCAGATCTTGTATTACAGACTTGTGCTGCTGCACACTAGAGCATACGAACAGATAAACCGAACATTTATTTGGAAATAGCGAACATTATAAACGATTGAAAGATGGAGGAGCTTCTGACATTGCTCAGAAATCTCAGCGTCGGTGCAATGGACAAAAGAAATAGAGGACAGGGTAAGAGGAAGACTCCTGCTCAGAGGCTCGCTGAGAAAGTTGATCGGGACTTGGACGCATTCAGCTACCAAAGAGGGGACGCGCTGTGTAAGATGGCGGCAAAGAGCTGCCACCAGGACCACGTGTTTCTGATCCGCAGGAAGAATTCGTCTGGTTTATGGGCTCTACGGAGGGACCAAAGGTTTTCTGCGTTCGACCGACTCAGAGGAATCCCTGCAGAAGCAGCTGAAAAAGATGGAGTCGGCAAAAGGGCAGACGAGCATTTGTTTGCATTCCACGCCAGCCCTGCGCCGACAAGGAAAACGCTGAGCTGGACAGGACTTAAAGGTCACCACGGGGGAAACGCAGACCTAATCCGCAACAAGAATTCCCTGCTTTTACGGGCGGCACGGAACGACTACAGGTTCAACTCGCTAGCCCGCTACAGAGGAATAGCTGAACTCGTAACCGAGACGGATGATGGAGTTCCTACTGAAGCTGACAGTGTTTTCCATCAAAAGACTACAGGTCAGTGCCAGAGGAAGCCGAGCTTCGTCCCCGGAAAGGGTCCATGCGGTTTAGGGGCTCCAGGTCGGTGCCACAGGAGGCCGAGCTTAATCCCCAGCAAGGATTCATGGGGTTTATGGGCTCTACGTAAAGAAAGAAGAGATAAATTACTTGCACGCTACAGAAGGATCGACAAAGAGCTTTCGGCTGGAAAAGAAGATGGCCGCGGGAGCGCCAACACCATGTCGGCACCAGCAAAGGGACAGAAAGCCATTGTCCTCCGACGTCCCCCAGTCAAAGGTCAGTGCCCTAAAAAGAAACCCCCCGGCTTGTCGAAGATCGAGAAACCCACTCGGACGAAGACCTCAGGACAAGGCCCGAACGGCCACAGTTATGGCAAAAGGCAGATAATTGTGGCGCCCAAAAGAGGTCCGAGGCCCGCCCAGTACCGGAATGCCCCCGAAGCCAAAGCCCAGAAGACACAACCCAGACGCAACGGGCGCAAGAACCGAGCCAACGCCAGGAGCATCGCACCCAAGCTGGCCGGTGACGCTCGTCAAGGGAGTCCCTACAAACCTCCGTCCCACCGCCAGCGGAGGAAAGCGCAGCCGCACCCCTCGGCCAATAGGCCTCAGCTACAAGCCAGGCCAAAGCCAGGCCATAAACAAGTCCCTCCTCCCTCCGTTTCCCTCCTGATGAACGGAAGGCGCGATGTATTTTTCGCCCAGTGTTGCCGAAAATGCGAGAGGACCCGTAAACGGGAATTGGCACGGACAGGGCTCAAGAGGACCCAGCCGAGAAAAAACGGAGTTCACAGCGGGATGGACGCAACAAAATTCAGTTGTGTTCATCAACGTCTTACCCTCAAGACTTAAAACGTCCCACGGACTATCGCGGAGGACTCGTGTCATGCTTTTATTCCATAATTTTTTCTTTCTTCAATAAAATCTCTATAAATAATTCCATGGGCATCCGTCAAATCATTACACATCATGGTAACGGAAGTCAATTTAATCAGTCAGGCTCTTAATTGGTCTTCCTGAATTAAATTAAGAGTTTTAAGGGTCTAGTTGGCAGTCTTCATTAAATCAGAATCAGAAATACTTTAATAATCCCAGAGGCAAAATATTTTCGCTACACACTCCAGATATGCAAACAACATAGATAGATAGATAGATAGATAGATAGATAGATAGATAGATAGATAGATGGATAGATAGATGGATAGATAGATGTATACAACATTAAACCAAGAAATATACAGAAAATATACAGAAAAAATATACAGATAAAAAATAATGTGCAAAAGAATGAATAAATGTAAATAATTTTGAGTCAGAATTACCGAGGGGGGTTGTCTGACTCTCTGAGGGAGGCATTGTAGAGATTGATGACCACAGGAATGACTTCCTGTGGCGCTCTGTGGTGCATCTGGGTGAGAGGAGTCTTCTGCTGAAGGAGCTCCTCTGGTCCGTTATCAGCTCCTTAGTCTTTGTCACATTGAGCTGCAGATGGTTCAGCTCACACCAAGAGACCAAGTTGCCCACCACAGTCCTAGATTCACCCTCATCACGCCTTTCAACACAGCCAACTATTGCTGAGTCATCAGAAAACTTCAGACGGAGGCAGGACGCAATAGCTGAAGTCTGAGGTGAAGAGGAAGGATGAGAGGACAGTCGGCTTTGTTCAGCTTTGGGAATTAATAGACCATTTTTCTGTTTGTATTTTTTGTTTGTTTTAGCATTCATAGGTTTAAATGCAAAAACATTTGAAACTGGCCAAGGCAGTGAAACTAGATACTGCTAGTTAGCAGGAGCAGGTGATTGGAGCAAAGAAAAAATGCTTCCAAGTTCCCTTTTTAAATTAATTTATTTACAACTGCCTGCAGAGAGGTTTGGAGCAAATTAATAACAGTTTAATTTTGACAATTATTCGCTGTCTGAGTCCAGTGGAGGACGATGAGCACATTAAAGACATGCTAACTAGTTTAGATTACTAAAGTACTGAGGAAGCCTTGTAGTAAATGTATTTACAGTTGACATTGAACATTCGATCCATCACTAGAAAACCTTACTGTGCAACACAAATAATATTCACATTTTCAATTCAATCATAAAAATCACAAAAACAGAATCCGTTTTGGGTTTTTTTTTTTTTTTTTTACTGGCATCTAACGACACATGGCCAAAGCATTGCGGTTAAAATCTTAAATATGAATTCTTTCAATGTTTTTTTTCCATATCCGGCTGTATTTTCATTGAGAGTAAGCCATTTAAAACATTGTGCCCAAACCAGGAATATTTGTGCCGTCTCAGCATTTTGGGAATTACAGAGATTTCAGTTTATAATAATGAATCTAAAAGTGAATAAATTTCCATTCAGCCTGCAAACTCGAAACTAAACACGTTTAACCATTACTGGTTAAAACCTGACTGTATTATAGGCGCATTTCCATAATAAGTGGAAATCGGCGGGCTCTTTTCGTTTCTGGGTAAATGTAATTAGTAATGACGCATTGCTTGGGATGTTCTATTAAATTGGAGATACTTTCCAGCCCTAACAGTGGTGAGACACAGCCTTTAAGACTATCTCAGCTCTTTCTATAGTAGTTTGTGTCTTTAGTGTGGTCCCAGGAGGTGCCTGTTTCAGTGCCGTATATTTTTCTTTCTCTTTTTGACAATCTGCTCCTTGAGACTATAAAAATGACAACACAGATGAGGGTAGGAGGAAGGTATAGAGGAAGAGAATGAGCCGGTAGGGGGAAAAAAAGCCTGCCTTACGGCATAGAGTGCAGACTGAGCCAGGGTCACTGTGTTCTCAGTGAGGAGGAGGCGGAGAAGAGAAGTAAGAGGGAGGAAGTTTTCTGCTGAAATGTTTCCTTCGAGAGGCTGCACGATCTGTCTCTTGTTTGGATTGGTTTGATTTTTGACAACACTCAAGCATGGAATGGAAGATGAGGACAAATAATCAAATTTTGTCTCTATTGTCTCTTGAAAAGAGAAACATTGGAGAAAAAGATACTTAAACCTATTCTATATAAGAAAAAAACCATCACTATTTATAAGATTTTTTTAAATTATGAGTACTGAATGGCTTTCCCTGCAATAGTATCCAACCTTTCATCAATATTTATTTTTTGTTTTGTTTCCGCTTTATAAAATTCAGGCCTACAGGGAGCTGGGATCCTTTCATATGTCAGTTTCATCTGTTTTCCTGGTGTAAAAATGTGTAAACATACAGGTTTCTAACGGTTATCCGGAACAGATCAGGATGCTTCTAGCTATGCATTTCTTTGACCGGAGTTTTTCCTTAAATCACCTGGGCATCCACAGTCCATTTAAAGAGATAACCAGCCTTTAATAATCCCAGAAAATCAGATGGCCGCACGTTGTAGTTATACGGTGTAACGCCGTGCCTTCGAGTCCATATCAAAACAGCGTTTTTTTTCTCCTATCTTTTCATTTCCCGTCCTCCTGTCTGCTCCCTGCTTGCTATCTATTTATGAATTAGTTTTTTTTTTCCTTCTCTTTTTATGCTGCAAAACAGAGCAACTGCTGGAGTTCATGCATCAGCTGCCGGCGTTTGCCAACATGACCATGTCTGTGCGGAGGGACCTGTGCAGTGTCATGGTGTTCGAGGTGGTGGAGCAGGCCGGCACGGTCCTACTGCACAACAAACAAGAGGTACGAGCCAATAACCGCCACAAGTTATTCCAAGAGTGGCAGATCGGGCGAAAAAGTGTTTAGAAAAGAAAACAGACGGTTAAAGCAACATGCACCTTTTTTTCCTCCCCTTATCCGTGCTATCTGAAGCTAATTCCCGCACGCAGAGGCTTGTTCGTGCCGAAACACTTTGTGGAGTGCGCCCTGACAATGGCCCGAGCTGCCGCACAGCTAATAAATTGACTTACAAGCCAAAAAAATAAATAAAAAAAGGGAGCTGTGTTCAGGCTGTTCCGTTCCTTATAGCCGCATTAGAACCGACAGGGTGATAAATGGCAACGAACTGCCCGCCACTTAGCCCAGAGGGGTTGGGAAGTGCACATTGGCAAGAAGCTATTAAAAAAAAACATACATGAGGAGGCCATGGGCATCACATCCGTGTATATGCCTCGTCTGTGTGAGGTCGATTGACTGGCAGCTCTCCACTCCAGCGTCTCTCGGCGGACTCGAGTTGAATGTCAAAGGCAAGCACTCGGCCGCCTCTTCCAAGTCGGAATGACTTGGCTAAGTGAGTGTGAAAGGGAAAAGAAAATAAAAGGGTCTGAAGTGGTCTAATAGAAGGAAAATTGTGGGAGAGTGGCCAAAGGGAACAGATAGATGATGAGGGAGCCAACACTGAGTCAGAGTGAAGAGTGAGATCTACTCCTTTTTTTTTCTTTTTCGCCCGGCTGTAAGAGAATTCATAAGGACTAATTGTTTACCCAAATCCATGGGGCGCTCTCAATATTCATGAGGCAAAATCCCGAGGTTGTATTCCGCACCGCGCGTTTTATTTATGTAAGCTTTAGGAAAAAAAGCGCCACTCAGGAGCTTTTGTTTACCGTACATCCAGCGTGAGCCCCTCACCTATTACCATTTCCTCCTGCTGAAGAATAAGGTAGGACACAGGTGGAGAAGAAAAAAATAAAAATTGTAGCCCATGGGGAGAGAAAGCAACGAGCAGAGAGAAAAGAATTGGAGATTTGCGAGGTGAGAAAGAGCCAGTGAATGAAAAGGCAATGAGAAGGAAATATCAGTTATCGCTGCAGAGGGAGCCAAGGGCTCCTACGTTAGATGAATGGCTTTTTATATTATCCTTACCAGCTTTTTCCTTCAAAAGCCGCCACTAGAGACAGAATACCTTTTCAGTAACACACTCGTGGCTCACGCAGTGCCCATTATGGCCAATATATATGGCATTTTAACAGCTCTAAATGTACGCAAATCAAATGCCTTACTGATGGAGATTAGCAACATTCAAAGCTTTTATTCCATTTCTTACTTGGGTCGCGTTACTAATGGTAATTTCAGCAAAAAGCAACTCAGCCGAAAACCGGTCAGAGCTCCACGTCCTCATCTCTGTGCCCGTTTCCCCTAGCTGGACCACTGGTATGTGATCCTGAACGGGGCGGTGGAGATCAGCTACCCGGAAGGCAGAGTGGAGAACCTCTGCATGGGCAACAGCTTCGGCATCTCGCCCTCCCTGGACAAGCAGCACATGATCGGAGAGGTCCGCACCAAAGGGGACGACTGCCAGGTAAAGGGGACAGACGCAGGCGCCTGCTCAGGGCCGCTAACAAAAGCTTTCGACCGCCTGATGCTGCCGCTCTTAAGATAGCAGATGATGACGTCCCCAGCTTGGTTTTGCAATCAACAATAATTTCATACTGTGGGTTGTTTGTTTTTTTATTTATTTTTTATTTTGCTGATACAGTCACGCAGAAATCTGTCCAACAGTTAAAACATCAGAGCTGAGAAATGATTTTTTTTGTTTTTTTCTTTCTCTATCCTCTCATTTCTTCTTTTGGCCAAAGTACTAGAGCTTTGCTACCACAGCAAAAAACAGACACAGCCCAGTGAGTTTTCCCCTATAGCTTACACAAGTTACAGAGATAACATTTGGGTTTGACTTAAAGAAGCCAGTAAGTGTCTCTTCTGCTAATAGAGAGGCGGCTTCCGGTGACAGGCAGCCTTTGTGTAGATTCACGGGGCGAACGTGTCTTCTAAAACCTCACAGCCCCCTCTGTCCACAAGGCCCAGTTCCTCTACTGCACACATAACTTCCTTCGCTCAGACATTCACAGGAAGTCGCAGAGTTCTGTCTCAGTGAGACGAATGCAGAAACCGGCTATTTAAGTCGCAGATGCCCGTCGCAGCACTTTCTGTCAGGATGTCCGTGCCGGGGTAGCCGGCCGCGATGGTTTTGGAGCTCCGCTCCATCTCGAATCCGGCCGTTTTGAAGGAGCGGAGCGGGCCCGTCCCCCCCATGTCGCGCTCCCACGCCTCCTCCGTGCTGCTGCTGGAGTACCCCACCGTGGTGCGGAGCAGCGTGCTGCTGTACCGCAAGTTCACCCGCTGTCCCCATGTCGTCCTCGACCAGTTCGTCTGCATCGCCCAGGAGGACTACTGGCGCATCCTCAACCACGTGGAGAAGAACACGCACAAGGTTGAGGAGGAAGGGGAGATTGTGATGGTGAAGGAACTCCGCGAGCTCGACCGCAGCGGGACAAGGAAGGGCCACATAGTCATCAAGGTGGGCTATTTATTTATTTATTTTTTATGTTAAACGAGCAGTTAGATTTTTTTTTTTTTTGCTTTCGCAAAGTCAGAACGTTCTTTTAGATTGCATTTGACCCCCACTACAGGGGATGTGCAGAGTTAAACAAACTGAAAATTAACTGAGGATGGTAAATGCTAAATGTACACACAAGGTTAAACCGCAATGTCGAGGCAGAGCGTTGTTTTCTTTCCTTTTTTTATGTCCTAATGTTATTCAGGAATATGTTTAACCTTGTTCAAGAGCGCGTCCCAACCGGGATCCGACAGGAAAAGTCACCCATAAAGCCCGTAGTCGAGCTAATAAGCATGTTTAATCTAACCTCAAGCTTGACTTAAGCTCCTTAATCAGAAACTCGAGTTTTTACCCTTCGCTTTTTTTCCCCCTCCCCTGCTCCTTGGGGGCCCTTATACCACAACGCTCCCTTGATTGATCTGACCACTACAGCCATTCCCTCACACGCAGCTTCTCGCAGAGGCCTCGGGACAGCTGCTCGATGTAGTCGCTTGATCGTTACGAGGCACCACCGGCGCCGTTAGTGTTTGCCGGAGCGTTTTTTTTTTTTCCCTCTCACGCCTTCCAAAGCCTTTTGATCCGCTCGCTCAAGCTCAGGAGGCATACGCGTATCGATCAGATAATGGGCCTGAATGATCCTCTTGGCCGCCGCTCAGAGGAGAGCCGTTGGCTTGAAAACAACATCCAGCGGAGATGAGTCAATCCGCGAGCGCGAGCATTTCCGCTTCTCTGTTCGGGCTTCTTTTTTTATGTCTGATAAAAAAAAAAAAAGTGGATGCCGTTTTAGTTTCTGTTCCCCCGCGTAATAAATCGTTTCCCCAGAAACCTCTGCTGTGGGGATGTTAACAAACTTGCTGAAAAAGGAAGAGCAGAGTTCAAGTTTCCCAAATGCTTCTGTCTTCTTCTTCCGAGTTTATAAGCTTAATAATTGTGTCTTATCGTGTGCTTTTCGCTTCTTTGATCCATTTTTAGGTAATGGATTCAGGAAAGCTTTTATGTCTGCTTCTTTTGGTCAGAGTTTGAATGTTCAGACTGTTCCTGAATGTGACATCTGATAGTTTTTTATGAGTGTGCTGCCTCCCCTGTTTGGGCATTAATATGGGGTTATTTTACTTACAACCCCATAGGGAACCCCGGAGCGTCTTATCAACCACCTGGTGGAGGAGCCGTCGGTGGTGGACCCCACCTACATCGAAGACTTCCTCCTGACCTACAGGACCTTCCTGTCCAATCCGATGGAGGTCGGCACCAAGCTCCTGGAGTGGTTCCTGGTGGACAGCCTCCGGGACACGGTCAGTGCTCCGGAGTCTGGGGACTTCATCCATTATGCATCAGTTCATACTTTAAGTGAAGATCGTTATACTCTCCTTCATCAGCTTATGCGTTGTATTCAACTATGTTTATGGAAATTTACGCCTCGTGACACTCGCACGCTGATCAATACACGTTCCGCCAGCTCAGCCGTTCCCGAGCCAAGTAGCGATTGGTCAGGGCCGATGCCCCGGTTGTTCACAACTGCTTCAACCGGAGATCAGGTTCCTAGTAGCGTATATGTTATTCTTAACCAGGCTCATCTTCAGCCTCCTTAAACAGGGTCCAATCAAGTACAGAACACATGCGAAGAGCGTGATAGAAAGGGGAAAGATGTGAGTTGACTAAGATATGGGTCGTAACTCCTAAAGGTTAGGACAGCAGACTTTGCAAACATGATTGTTTTCGTGTCACTTTTGATTTTGTGTTGCTTTCCTTCCCCCCTGATAATTGACCCTGACACAAAATTGATAAGTCAACCATAAATGGTTTGTACATTTACGCAAATCTTTACCTTAGGGCTAGCGTTCTGCATGACATTAATTATCACGATTCATTCAAATTGTTTATATATTGATCAAGGAAAGGATGAAAGGCAAACAATTATTCACAGAAGCCACTACAGTGTCTTTAAGTAACTCCCAAATATGAATGCCCTAAAGTTGAGTAAGAGCTGTGACTTGCAACCAACTCGCAGAAAGAGCCCAAACAAGTCTTTTTTTTTTTTTTTTAAAGTAGCCTTTTTCTGAATAAAACTTAGAATGTTCTGTCCTCTGAATGATAACAGGTAACAAGGATCGTCTTATTGTGGGTCAATAACCACTTCAATGACTTTGAGGGGGACCAAGCGATGACGCGCTTCCTGGAGGATTTTGAGAAACATCTAGAAGATACAGTAAGACCTTTGCTCTTTAAATCCACTCGTTTTGAAGATTTCTCTGTTTTCACTCTGCTCTCTTTGGTTTCCATTTTAATTCACAAACGAGTGTCATTCTATTTAACCGTTCTGGCCTCACATATCTATCTGCACATTTTGTCTGCATAACTTGTTTTATTTTTTGTATCCTTGTTCCTCCCAAGACGGATGCTTGACTTTATTGGCATATTCAGTGAATAATGCTATTTTAACTTGGCTAAGAGTGACATCATATGGTTTCACTTGCTCTTAGTAAATAAAAAGTACACAAAGATTTAAAGAAGCAAGGGCAAACTTGAGTGCGAGTCTCCTCAAGTTCATCGTTTTCTCATTTTTCCCTCCTTGCCAGAAAATGAAGGGCCATTTGAGGCTGCTGAACATTGCCTGTGCTGCCAAAGCAAAGTGGAGACAGATCACTCTGCAAAAGGTGTCCAGGGAGTCGCCGCTGGGCTTCAGCGTGCAAGGCGGCAGCGAGAGAGGATTTGGCATGTTTGTCGAATCGGTGGAGGAGGGAAGCAAAGCGTCAGAAGCCGGACTCAAGAGAGGAGACCAGGTGAGAGGAAAATTTGTGATACCGCTTGGTTCATGGAAAGTGGCGGGATCTCACACTCAGGACCTTTATTATGATGTGAAAGCACTAACGGGTCCCAGGAAATAGTCTGGTTCTTTTGTATCCATCCTGAATGAGCAGTCACAGGTGAAAGCAGCAGGCCTCCGCACCCAGTCGCTCTGTAGATAGTTGTCAATATGTTATTAGAGTCAAATATGAGATGCAGTGGGATGTGTGACAATCCTCAGCTTGTTCTCGGGTGTTTAGGTTGTTATAGATCTCAGTTTCCTCTGATTAATAGTCCTCTGTTGCTATTCAGGCTTCTATCTGCCATCGCTTTCTTTTATGTGCTTTCAACTGAACACAGGAGCCAGAGACACTGAGCGTCTTTCCTCTTTGTGATGTTTGTAGCCGAGCCCTGTGGGGCCTGGAGCGGTCGGTGGGTGCCGGGTCAGCAGTCTTAGTCGTAGCCTCTCAGATGACGGTGTGCTTCGACAACAGCTGTAGAGTCCACAGTTTCTCTTATCGATGTGCTGACCGAGAGGAAAAGTTCGAGCTGTAAATGAAGTGAAACGTGCTCACACAATTCTTTTAGATCCGACTAAACGTTGCATGTGTTACAGTATCTATCGCCAGCATCAAAATGGAATGCGTTTCATTTTGCTTGATGTTTGTTCTACCTATACCTTTAGAGAGCGTCTCTATGGTCTAAAGGAACAAAAGCAGAGATGAATCTGGGAGCAGAGAAAAATAATATCACCTCTGAAGGGGAGCTTATTCTTCTCTGCCTGGCTGTAATGAGACATGGTGTAATACATCTCTTATCAGTGTTTCGAGGCTGGCCGGTATGAAAGGGACAAAGAAAAGGATGCTGCAAAGGCAGATGACCTGAAAGTGAGATGAAGGCTCACCTTTAGCCTTAACAAGCGGCCGCTCACGAGCATCACAGAGATGGAGTATCTTTGGGAACTTTTTGGCTCAGTCGGCGAGCGGTTGGTGCTCAGCATTTATTACAAGAAGAAGAGATAACAACAGAACACCACCTACCTCCACTATAAAAATGCCATTGCTTATAGATATTAACGTTAAAAGAGAACCAACAAATGGCTCTCTGTCAGCTGTGATCGAACGGTTGGGATGGAAAGGAGGGACAAAGGAGGGGCAGAGGTTTGAGAACTTCGGCAGACGGAAAAAAACAAAACAGGACAATTTCTTCTATTGAACCTTTCAAAACAAATGACTTGCAGTACATAGATGTAAAAGTAGAAACCCATGTTATGTCGTTTGGCTGACTGTCTTGAGTGCGTGCGTTTCGGGGAGCCACAATTAGATTGAATCGCTTGAGCTGTATGCCAAGTGTGACGAAGTGAAATAGAAGCGCTCTGTATAACCACCGTGATCCATCTTCACGTCCACATCTAGCTGATCTCTCAATATATATCACTTCGAACTGCCCTTTTTTTCACTCTGCCTTGTGAATCTCCTCCCACTGTGACAGGAAATGACAACCTGCAAATACACACTACCCTCTTTGTGTCAGTTGTGTCAGGTCTAAATGAGGTATTAGATGTTTATGTTTATGCATTTAGCAGACGCTTTTATCCAAAGCGACTTACAAAGTAGACACAATTTTACAGTTCTCATCAATATGACAAGAAGTTCTCTAGAGGAAAATCCCTTGTCAGAATCAGTAGAGGGGGTATAGAGGTATGGGTCAGAGTTAGGATAAGAGATGCTCTTTGAAGAGGTTGGTCTTTAAGAGTTTCCTAAAGATTGAAAGGGACACTGCTGTTCTTGTAGCACTTGGTAGGTCATTCCACCATCTTGGAAAAAAACAGTCTGGATTTTCTTGAGCGTGGTGTAGGCCCTGCTAGATGACAATACATTGGTGACCGGAGTGACCGAGTTGTGACATAAACCTTTGCAAGAGGGTTTAAGTAGACGGGAGCCATACCCTTAAGCACTTTGTCGGCTAGCATCAGGGACTTGAGTTTGATTCTGGCATCCAGGGATAACCAGTGAAGCTCAATGAACAGAGGGGTGACTTGAGACTTTTTGGGCTGATTGAAGATCAGTTGTAATGGTTTTTACCGTCCAGGCTGGGAGACCAGTCAGGAGATAACTATAGACTGCACCAGGAGCTGGGTAGCATGTTGGGTTAGGCATGGCCGGATCTTTCTTATGTTTAGTAGTGTGAAGCGACAAGCTCAAGAGACGGAGGAAACACGATTTTTAAAGGTCAGCTGGTCATCAATCGTGACACCCAAGTTTCTTGCTGGCTTTGATGGAGTCAGAGACAGATTAGATGGCGCCTTTTAACTGCAGCCAAATGATTTGCAAAAGAAATTATGTTTAAGATTTATTCTGCTGTGTTTCAGATCATGGAGATCAACGGTCAGAACTTTGAGAACATCTCCTTCTCCAAAGCTGTCGACATCCTGAGAACCAACACTCATCTCGCCCTCACTGTCAAAACCAACATCTTCGGTAAGAAAAGTTCCGGACCAGCGTGAATTGCTGGTCACGGTTGGTGTGACAACAAGCTAAACGTCTTCCTCCATCCCTCCAGTCTTCAAGGAGCTCCTGAGCAGGATCGTGCACGAGAAGAAGAACGGCGGCCCCCACATCCCAAAGATCCAAGAGAAAAAAGGGAATCGCTTCTCCATCCCCGACCTCCCCGGAGACATGGAGTTCCCCACGGACCACAAGAGCACCCGCAAAATGAAGGCCAACACTGTGTCCGGAGGGAGAAACAAGATCAGGAAGATGCTGGAAAAGACTCGCTTCAGCATTCTGCCGCCCAAGCCCTTCAGGTAAGCAGCTCGAAGGAAAGACTGCTGGGATGACCACAGGACCAGACGTTTAGATCGGTTTAAACCAAAACTGGTATGACGATAGGAGGAATGCCCAGAGGATACTTTAAGAACAAATTAACTGAATTACAGTAATTACTCGTGGAACCTGACATGAACTGTGTCAGGGAGGTTTTTTTAAAAAACAGGTGAGTTTGGGTGTTTCTGACCAAGTCTAAAATATCTGGAGAGAATTCTGATTAGACGGGTAGAAAATATTTAATCAAGGTAAGGAACAGTTTAATCGAAAAGGCTGATTTGCCATCTGGCATTGTGCCCTGAGTAGACACGCCTTGCCCTTAAAGCGCGATGTCTAATAGAGCACTTTTCCCCTCTCCGCCTTTCTCCTCTCACGCCCCCGGTGCCACTGATGCGATGCAGATTGCCCCCGGCCTCCTCCTCCCCGTCTTCATCGTGTTATCATGCTCGGCGTCGTCCCTAACCAACCATTGTGCCGGCAGCGATATAGATGGATTGCTCAGATGAGATCCGCATTCAATATCCCACCCGTTAGTCGGCTATACAGATGTGATTTCAGCCCATCGTCAGTGCGGACGGCGTTCTGGCCCCGCCGTTAATTACAGCGTTAACGCGCTCGCCGTTGCGCGCTACCTCACACTTTTAGCTCCCCCCCTGCCTTCGTTTCCGGACCGGTGGAAAGCGGCGCACTCGTTCATCAACCCAACGGAGCCTTTCAGCAGGCCCCGTCTCTGAAACCGGTCTTTGAACAGACGGTTGATAGAAAGCACTGAGAAAAGAATAGAAGTGAGACAGATGATGAGGTTCGGTCGGCTTTCATCAAGGCCTTTTATGCGGGACGGGGATATTTGGGGGGGAGGAAGGGCCGCATTGCTGTCTGCTGAGGAGTTCTGTGTGCAAATGTGAATAAATGCTTCATTCTTTTCTTTCACAGTCTTGTGCATCTCAGAATTGAGCTTTAGATGAAAAAGCAGTTTTTCTTCAGGAACGATAATGTATTTACCTTTCATGCCCAGTCCAGTGTCATGTCCTGTCCATTTTTGTTACTCATCCAAATAGCAAATATATTGATTTCTAGCATTCCTGAAAAAAAATTGCTTTAAATGAAAGGGAAGTCCTGAATAGATGTGTTAGGAAAGCTTTGAAAAGAAAGAACCGGCACCTTGAGAACTTTACCGTTAACACGTGATCTTTATTCGGATCAAGTCGATGTGTTTTCTCATGAAAAGCCCATCTGCAGAGCATCTCTGCCCACTAAACTGACCTCGAAGACAAAATACTTTTTCTGAAATCTAAAACTAAGTTACTACTGGTGAACTTTTTGAGAGGATTTGAACTGTTGTTGTATCGGGGTGATCTGCGCTCATGATAATTTCAGAAGACGGTTTCATATTGTATTATACAGATGGGATTCTATAAACAGAAAGATGAGCAGTGTAATCTTTGGTTGCCCCCCCTGCTTTATGCTGTGTTTGCTGTCTCTGTTACATTGTTTCTTACATTTATCTGCTTATTTATTTCAGCACCAGTCAGCATGTGTAAAATCTGTCCGTTGTACGCGGCGTTCTGTCTGCTTTAATTTTGTTTGTGTTGTTCTTAATGTGAGTGTCGTCTCACTGCTGCACTTTTACCAACCAAGCACTTCAGCTTCTTTTTTTTTTTTTGTGTGGTTGCTGGATTTATTTTTTTAAATTCTTTCTTTTTTCACACTTTTAAATGTTGTCTCTCTCCTGTCTGTCTCCACTGCTTCAGGGGCCTGTTTGGGTAAGACCTTTTGTGTAACTCCCCATCCTCCAAGTATTTGGTTCTGTGTCCATCTGCAGACCCGCACACAGCCACACAAACGCACACACCGCTGACCTTTAGCAGCATTTGTGGTTCTCATGCTTGTTGATTCTATTTACTGATTACCGCAAAGCCAAAAACCAACCGATTGAATTTAAAGTGCTTTATTTCCCATCGACGCGCTGCTTATTTGAATAAATTTTGAGCAGAAATGAGTCATTAGTTAAAAAGTAATTTCCTCCAGCACTTGGTCTGTTTTCTTCAATCCCGTCAATCTCAGCAAAGAAAATACATTTCTATAACCTTGGATTGCATACATAGAAGAGAACTTAGCTGGATATATGGAATATTGACAGACGTAGGATTCAAACTGTAGAAGGAGAATACGATATCAATGGAGCCTTTTCACATGTAAACCTACAATTCCCCCCCCCCTCTTTTTGGTGTTTTAGAATTATTCATCAGACAAAATTCCAGACAAAGCAAAAACACGTTCATGGAATGGTTTTGACATTGCATTTTTTTTGCCTCTTTGTTCTGAAACACCTGTGCTTCCACACATCTGTCTCTGTGGGGCTGAACAGTATAATCTGTGTCATATAGAAGACAAAGCCACAGAGTTTACAGAGAGAGGCGTGTTAAACACTATGTGACAGAATCCTGGTAAAGAGAGTAAAAAGAAAAAAGAAAAAAAAAAAGATGCTCACTGTTTCTTGCTCTGCTGCCAAATGGGCTTTTGGAGTAGGAAGCGAGGGATTGGAGAGGAATACTCTTAATTATTTACTCCAGATCCTGTTTTTGCTTTGTAACAAGGCTGAAAACACCAACCCCTACATTTGCACGTCACATTTTTAGCAGCTCCAGCTGTTTGTGGGTCTCTGTCGTGCCTTTCATCCCTCGGGGGGGAATGTCATACTTGTAATCCACAGTGGACTTAATGTTTCAGAGTCGTTTTGAGCTCCATAGCGTCTTTATCTTCCTCAGTCTAACCAGTTCCGTATTTGGAAACCTCCCTTACTAGTCCCTGTCGCTTTTTTTGTACGATTTCGTGGACCTGTTTGCTCTCCCCTGGTCAGACCTTCAGTTGCCTGTGCCTGATTTGTACCATTTCGCCATTTTTGTGGCTCCTCTTTGTTCTGTCCCCTCAGTATGTTTCCTGTGTCCTGGTGATTCATAGATTACAGGCTTTGCTGCAGCTGAGCGTAGCTGTGCTGTTGGAATCCCTACATTATCCCTCATAATGTGCAGACACACAACTAGTGGGGAGCTGTAACAAGTGAGGAAGTGAGAAGTCGAGCCTTTTACTGGCAGAAGTGCTTTATTTGAAATAAATGCAGGGCTGCATTCAGGCACAAAACTACAAGCTTAAATAAACTACATAAAGTAGTAGTTATATTAAAAGTGTCTACAATGTTGTAAGAACGCATTGCCAAACTTTAAGGTGGCCACATCTATCGAGTATCAAAATAGCAGACATTCTTTGTATGTTTTTATTTTTTAATTTTTTTTTTCCCATCGCATATGTTTTGGTTTAGCCAGTTTAATGAGACCTGATGAAACTACTGCATGTGAAAGTCATGGCTAAATGGGAGGTAACCGATGAGAGGTATTCACAGCCAGAGTATTCATTAGCTCTGTGTCATTGTGTATAGTGTGTGTGTGTGATTGTGTGTCTGCTTGCCTTTTCCGGAAAGCTGCTCACGAATGCCTTTGTTGTAACTGCACAAGGGTGGACATTTTTGACTAAATCCCAGTGTTTTTTATTTTTATTTTTCCATTGTTTTGAGATGTATTCTTTACATTTAAAGATGTAAATGGGGGAAAAATCCTTTAGTTGGATTGCTAACAGAGAAAGAGGGGAAAAAATTGCTTCAAGAAATGTCCACTTTTGATTTATCTGAGTTTACATATGGAGCATGGCTCTTTTTTGTTGTTCTTTTTTTCAAAATTCCTCACAACATATTTCCCTCCCCTTTTTCAACCCCCTTCCCATCGGCCCTCTCCAGCGATGGAGGCTTGGGTCAGTCTCAGGACGACAGCATCGTGGGCACCAAGCAGTGCCGTCACAGCGTGGCCATCATGCCCATCCCGGGAAACCTGTCGTCCAGCAGCCCGGACCTGCTGCAGCCCGCCACCAGCGTCCTGGACTTCTCCAACCCCGCCGGTAAGAGACAGACTCTCAGACAAACCAAAGAAAAGTGTGCGAATACTGCGTCTAACTTCTCTAAACACTCCATTGAAGTTTTACATAAAGACTCTGCTTGTCGCTCGCAAAAGTAAAAGATGTGTCAGAGAGCAGGGAGAAAGAGGAGCTTTAAATAAACTGCTCACTGGAATGAGGCCATTGAAAAGCAATCTCCTCTTTTGTCTCTTTTAATGCTCTGCGATACAAGAATGAAGCGCCAAAGCCTCCCTACCAGCGTGGAATAAGTGTGGTGTTATTATTACACAGCGTTTTACAGCCTTTGATAATCACCAATGTTTTGGGAGGACATCTTTTAAAAAAGTGTTTACATCAAAAGCTTTTTATCAGGTCAGTCTACCCAGAATGTTTGGGTTGCCTAGTATCTTTTTGATCAAAGCAATTAAAAAGATGTAGTGGTCGCCATCTTAGTATGGTCAGATTGTAAATCCAACTGTGTCTCATCAAATTTGCTGACCAGAAAACAGAAGCAGGTTAAAATTGTATATTCCTGCTCTTATTTGTATGAAAAGTCTCCAAATGAACAAAATGAACAGTTTGTTCATTTGCACCTTTGGACGTTCAACTTGGATGTCGTAGGGAATAAAAAGTTCTGCTACAATTAGATGGAAACAACATCCTTTGACAAGAGACCAAGTGTATTTTTTATACTAAGATCCAAAAACTGCTGCTTTTTGGATCCTACTGGTGCATGCCTCCTAAAGCCTAGCTTACTCTGAATGCATTTGACCCTCGGTTACCTATTTCTGGATTCCTATGTATGGAAAAAAAGTCTACTCAAACTACTCATTCAGACATCAAACACTATATTCAGCCATCAAATTCCCATTTACTCCAGGTTGTATGACTCTCAGGGATGTTTGGACATTTGCAAGAATCCTGATCAGCCGTCTCTGAGCTTTTCAGGCGTCCAGGTCACAGTCGAGATATTCTCCTCTGAAGTCGTTTGTCACATTTGAGCCGAACTCTCAGCCTTACCGAACTGTGAAACCACTTCAGGCGTGGTGAGCTGCCATCGTGAAGCTCTTCGCCTGTATGAAGAGTTAACACGACAGACGCTGTTGTTTTTTCCTCTTTCCATTCATTTATTCCAAAACACCGGAATTCTGACGGCGTCGTCTTGTGCTGCTGACAACACGTTTCATTCAAAACCACCCCGGCTCACACACATCTCGGCGAGAGCCATGTCAAAAAACATTTCCGTTTGACAAGAACGAACCCGCCGAACCAATTAGAGAGGACATACGAGAGCTTTCTGACTCCAGAATTGTTCGAGATAACAAAGAGGGGACTCCCTGCGGATTTGCTCGCGTTATTTATGAGCGCGTGGATAAAAGAGAATGAGAACGAACGAGCACAAAGGCGGAAGAGACGTAGAGAGAAAGATTACGGCCTTGATTTATTCCCGCTGCCGTTTGTCTGCGGGACAGACATAAACACACGGGCGTGCTGCTGCCTGTAGGTCTACAGATCCTGAACGTATACATCATATGTGGTTGTGTTACGTATGACAGCAATAAAGCACAACCAGACTGCATCAATCACCCTCTATCGCATAAGGCTTCCTTTAGTTCTTGGGCCTCCTATTAGGATTAATAGTAAAACAAAGAGCAGCCTCCCAAAACTAAACCTTCCTTTCCAGATGCTCTGCGGAGCTTCTAATACCCCCCAACAAATCCCCGCCTATGATTACATTAGCATAGAAACCTGAAAGAGAGAGGAACTCTTTTTTCCAAAGTTTGCTGAGTAAACAAACGTACGACTGGCTTTTTTTTTCTTTACTTTTCTTCCGTCTCTCTTCGCACTTGCCCGGGTTCCGGTGGAATTTTTGTGTAGCTAATTCTGTCTTTACACAAACGTTTCTGTCTCCCGTAGCTATGAAAAGGTATGAACTCATAGCATCCTCCATTTTTTTCCAACATTTGATCCACCTTCTAAATCCCCGTGTCAAGCGCGACGACTCTTTGGGATGCTAAGCTCGAACAATGAGGCTTCTCTTCCTCTGGGGAGTGAGGCGAGCGTCTGTCTGATTTCTTGCCTACCGTTTGCCCGGCGGTTTTGGTGTTTTTCCCAGTACTCGTAGCTTTGCGTGGAGCCACTCTTTTAAGATCCTCAGTATTCCCTCTGTAGTTTTGGGTCCCTTCTCTCCTCTCTCTGCATGTCTAGTTACTGTGATTTTAACCAGATGTTCCAGTGTCGACATGTTGAGTCATACTCTGCCTCTCCGGTTTCCCATGGTCCGATTAGCGCGGCAGCAGAAACTCCGCCGGTCTTCCCCTCCTCTTCACTTTCTGTCATGGGTTTTCCAGCCACTGTGTCTTTTTGTGCTCCCGCCAACCTCTCTTTCTCATTCGTAATTACTGTGTTTTCTCTTTTCCTTCCCCGCTTGCCAAGCCCTGGGACTATACTGTAAGTATAAATACCCTCACAGCCACCGTTTGTGCACAAATGTCCCCACCATCTTGTTTTTTCCCCCATTTGTTTTCCACGCTGGTCTTTGACTCTTTGCATCCATAATCTGCAACCCTCTGTGTTCAGTGCTTTACTCTCCTGTTTTAAACCCATATCTTCATTATATTTGCCCATCAAACCTGGAAACTGATGACTAATGAAGGAACTTTTCTTAGATTTGATCCACTATTGGCCCCAGAGTTTAATCCTAGCAGTGGTAAAGGTTTAGGACTAAGGGCGTCCTCCTCACTGGATACTTTCAGATGTGGTTTATATCTTCCGACTACATGACGAATTGTCTGGGAAAAGCTTTGGCAAACATACGAAAGAAGGCAAGGAGATTAGGCGATTTTGTGTGGCTATAGCAAACAAAAGGAAAACATTTTTGTTTTTTTACCTCTTACTTGAAACCCTCTTGGGGTTTCATCCACAAATAGATTATGTGCTGTTAAGAAAAATGAATGAAGTGAGTGATACTTTACAAAGATGATAATTGATTGGATGTTTGGCGAGGAGGGCATCGATCGTCCGGCTGCTTTCAGGTCAGGTCGCAGAGGATTGAACGCGATGGCCCCTCCCCAGGATATGAGGATATGATGGCCAGCTATTTATCTGAGGCCTTCCCACACTCTGATCACAAATCACAGCTAATGAGGCACAGAGCATCCACCCCCCAGTCTGCCCGCGCACCTCTTCCTGCTCTCCTCCGTGGCTGCAGCAGTGGAAAAACGGGGAAAGCTGCGAAGGGCAGAAAACTCAGTTTCCGTTTGACCGTCACGCAAAGCGCGGACGGCGTGTGACGGAAATCCTCGGACTCGCGGGTTACGAAGAAGTCAGGCATGTGGCAAGAAGTGCTTCCCCATTTTAGGAACCGGTGCATTAAAAAATGTGAAGAGAAAAAAAAAATAGGGTGACTTTTAGCTTCCAGAAAAGCATTAGAATTGGATATATCATTTGGACCCTCATCTGTTTCTGCTGGATTAACAAGAAACACAAATCATGTGCATGTCACACACACACACACACACACACACACACACACACACTTTAAAGCACTTTTCTCTCAATCTAACAGAAACACAGAGAGAATAGAAAACGCACACACATGCACACACTGCACCTCTACTACAGCTTCATCTAGCTGTTGGACGGTGTCTCCACTTATCACTGTTCTGCGTTTACAACCCGTTCTGTTAAATCTCTTTGGCTGCCTGTGGCTAATGGGCCGTGCGCTTGCCTCCACACGATGAACTGAGCTGTCTGTCACCGAGAGGAAACTCACCGATCTCATGCTTAATTTGCTCATTTTTTCCCCCCCTCCACCAGTTTGGCATGCTCCTTTCCCTTATCTTTTACTCCACCGCTGTTGTTTTAATACTCAACCTTTTAATATTTTTGACGTCTTGCGTGTGTTTCTTTTATGTGTATAACTGATGAATGCAGTTTGCTTTGTATTGAATGAGCATGTTGCATTTCTGGAGACCTGCAGCCTCTCTGGCTGCCTCCAGAGTTTCATATTTTTGTCAGTGTGTCTCGCAGTTTTGTTTGATCCGATGCTGTTCTGTGAAAATAAAAGGCTCCACGTTGGGCTGGGTTGATCTGTTTTGAATTTAGTTTGTGTTGCAGTAATTCTTTGATCGGTTGCCTATTTTGTCACCTGAGCAGATCTGTGCCGAAAATGAGCCTCGCCAAGCGTGAGCCCTGGTGGAGCAAATGTTCCAGAACAGACGAAGCGATTTCCTCGTATTTCGCCACCGGCTGATCGACCCTTTCCCCCCCCCCTCTCCTCTTTCCTCGTCAGACATCCCGGACCAGGTTATAAGGGTATTCAAAGCGGACCAGCAGAGCTGTTACATCATCATCAGCAAGGACACCACAGCCAAGGATGTGGTCAGCCACACGGTCAACGAGTTCGGCCTCATCGAGCCGCCCGAAAACTTCTCCCTGTGCGAGGTCTCCGTCAGCCCGGAGGGGGTCATAAAACAGCGCCGCCTGCCCGACCAGCTCTCCAAACTGGCCGATCGGATTCAGCTCAACGGCAGGTAAAAGCAACGCAAATGAGTCTAATCTTTTGGCAAATTCCAGCAGCATGGCAGACTGTATTGATTCCTTTGCCGAAAAGAGCACATTCGTCTCAGATTTTACAGCGTTTCTTTTGTCGCACCTTGAAGTACAAAAGACAAACAAGAAAAGAACAAGCGTGATAAACAGGAAGCAACACGGTCCCGTGGTCGGAGAAGCCTTTTGCTATAGCAGAAAGGCATGGATTTGCACTTAGAGCTGATCCCACAGCGGGAAATCTTCTGGATGTAGAACGCTGGATTTGAGAATTTCTATAAACCCCTGTTGTGCTGAATGCGTTTCGCCTGCTTTTCTTTTCCCGGATTTTTCTGTGTTGGTTCAATTGATTTAAGTTTGCGTGGTCCTTATTTTGCAACTACAGTTTTTGCAGCCTTCTTCAGAAAAGATGGATCTTGTTACTCGTACTCAAAAAAATATGCTCGAATGCATCTCTGACATCAGCAGATGATTCCAGTGTGGCTGTGTCCACTCCTCTCACACGGGCTATGCTGGCCCCTCCTTTCAGATGGGACTCAGTTTGTCAAAAAAAAAAAACACTCATCTAGATGCGCGTCACAAGCGCTGTTAGATTGAAAGCTACTCGGGAAACTGGATCGCAGCCCCTGAGCTTGCCTGAAAATGACTCCACCGTCGGTTTTTCACAGTTTCTCCCTCTCTTCCTCATCTCCTGTGGTCCCTCAATGGTCTCCTGCCAACCAGGGCTAGCATGAATTTTTCATCTTCTGTCAGGGGCGGAGGCCTCGGCAGACAGCATGGCACGTCTGGAATTATTCATACGCAGAGGCACATCCAAAGACACGGATACAGTAACTTATATTCTATCACATTTCCACTGATATTAAGATGCTGCCTTTACACACCCGAGGATATTAGAATGCACACAACTACTGAGTGAGCGACTCGGATTAATGACAGTGTTTCACATTTAGTGACACTCAGTCCGTCTCATGATGACAGACTGGAACTTGTATTTCTGCAGATTGACAGAAGGTCAGGGAGGGGGCAGACTGTATTTTTGGCTTCTTTTTTTTTTGACAAAATGCACATGGATTAAGAAAAGGGATCCTGACGTCATCACACACACACATTCCGTTAAAGGAGTACCAGTGGCTTGGTTCCAATCTGTTAGCCCATCCACGTTTTCAATCAGGACTCTCCTTTTCTCATTTTCTACTCCTCTCTGCTGAACCCCTCTCTGCTCCCTCTTTTCCCCCATGTGTATTATTTCCTTTTTTCTTTATTTAATCAATCTTCCGTGCTCCCCTTTCTATCTTATATGTCTTTATCTTGCGTCCTTCTGAGGACTTTTCCCCCCTCCCTTCTCCCTCCTGCTCTGGAAGAGTTACAGATGTGTTTTCAGAGAAGAACTTTTAAATGTAAGCTTCTAAGCGTTTAGAGTTCTTTCAGCTCTGAAAATATTCTTTTTTCTTTTTTCTTAAATGTGAAATGCATCTCATGTTTTAGCCTGGATGTTTAGCTTGATGTTCCTCTTCTCTCTAACTCATCTGACAGAGTAATGGCATAATTTAGAGTTATGTGCAAGCCAACACTTAACTCTAAAGGCCTGCTCACTCTGTGTTCTTAAGTCCAACATTCCAAAGTGAATACATTACAGCTTCATTAGAGTGGAAGTAGGAGGGTTGGCTTCATAAACATAGAAGCGCATTAGAGATAAGAGATGGCTTTCCTGCTAAATGGTTTCTTTGAAAAAACCTGGAAGCCAACCTTGGGGAGGGCTCTTTCTCAAACACCTGTTATTCTCCTTTCTTCTGCCTGTTGCACCCAAGATTTTTCATTCTTCTTTTCCTTATTAGTTTCCCTAAACTAATCTCAAATCGGAACAAAATGGGTCCTTTCAAAGTTGGGTGGGAGAATAAACTTTTGTTTTGTGAGTGTGGAAGATTACAAATTACAAGATTATCTGAGGTTTGTACCTTCTGTGAGTAAAAATACACCGAAACAATATTGTTTCAAGTTGTTTTAGAACTCCATCTTCTACTCTGCTCTGTCCCTCAGAAGAAAAGGTGCAAGCATCGAACCTTTTCTTCTTCAGCCGGTGCATTAGTCCAGATGACTCGAGATAACAACTCCCTCCTTCTTGTTATTCTTTCGTCTGAAGGTACTACCTTAAGAACAACATGGAGACTGAGACATTATGCTCCGACGAGGACGCCCAGGACCTCCTCAGAGAGAGTCAGATCTCTCTGCTGCAGCTCAGCACCATGGAGGTGGCCGCCCAGCTGTCCATGAGAGACTTCGAACTCTTCAGGAACATCGAGTCCACCGAGTAAGCCACCTTTTCTCTGTGACCCCCTCAACTTTTCTCATTTTGTGTATATTTCTGAACGGAGGAACTGTCGATTAAAAGTGTCTTTCCTGGTCCTCAGATACGTGGACAACCTATTCAAGCTGGACTCCTCTGCTGGAAGCGGAAACCTGAAGAAGTTCGAGGAGGTGATAAACCAGGAGACCTTCTGGGTCGCCACGGAGATCTTAAAAGAGCCCAACACGCTGAAGAGGATGAAGACCATCAAGCACTTCATTAAGATCGCCCTGCAATGCAGAGAGTGCAAAAACTTCAACTCCATGTTCGCTATTATCAGGTGAGCTCCGTCCGGGCGCTTTGCTGCTCCACAGCTTTGCTGGTCTAGTTTCTGCGTTACTGCGGTTGCATCAAAGAGGAGATTCTAGAGCGATGACAGCCACTTCATCTTCACTGACGGCAAATTTTCTTTGGCAGCCGATTTTCCCTCTCTTCTCTCTCAGGAGAACAGCTTCTCCTCCCCTCTCCCTCCTTTATGTTCATTAAATCAGCTCCAATTCTCCCCGACCACACAGATTCTTCCTCTGAACCTCCCCCCACCCCCCCTCAGCTGCTTTCAAAGGGAGACTCTTGTCACAACATTTCTACATAATGTTTGTAGAGATGATTTAATCTTGCTTGACCCTGTGGGTTGGCTTCAATTGGTATAAAACCAGCATGGGGGGGCCATAAGTCTGTGTTGCCTCGTATTCCATGTGAAAAACAGAAACGTCTGTCGCATTTGAATGCTGCTGTGAGTGGGTGGGGATTTTTTTCTAGTTGTATTTATCTGTTTGCACAAGAAATTGTTTAATTTGAAAACTCTAAAAGGTGTATGCAGCAAAAGTTAAAGGATAGCCGGGCGGTAAGAAGAAAAATTAATATGTTGCATAACGAACTATGTTGCCATCGTGCCACGTTTAGGGGAAAACAAAAGCAGGCCCTCTGCTTCCATAAGACTGGATAAAAAATTCAGGGGCCACCTTTGGGCACTCGCTATTTCGGTTTTTAATTTCCCCCAGGACCACACGGGGCCTCGGGGCTGCTGTCAACTTTGCCAGCTTCATTATCTGCAAAGTTGTTTACAAACTAAGATGTTTTCTGTTTTAAAAAAGTTTCAGATTTGGACAGAATGATAGCTATCGCTTAGACTTTGGCAGAATCAAATCAAGATCTTGATCGGAATAGATTTTAAGAATGTGTTTCAGACGAAGTAAAAAGGAATAAAAAACCTCCACCTAAAGCAAAGAAACAACTCTATATGAACTTGACAAATCCCAGACAACAGTGCTGTTTAGAGCTTCACGATAAGAAAAACTAGACAGATTATAAGCCAATAAGGCTGAAAAATGGATAACATAGTGCTATAGTAAAAAAAATAAAAACAGAGGTCAAGCAAAGATAAGGTCCACTTGGGAAGTTGAGACGATATAAGTAAGATAAAAAACAATGGTTCTGTTTTTAAAATGCACTCACTCGACTTCCAGACTATAAGTATATAGCGTAGCCCAAAATATGACCGCTTAACGCTTTTTCTCTGTTAATTTTTTCATCGATCCCTTCGAAAAATGTCCCGGGTTTAAGAACAGATGGTGGGAGCAATTCACAAGGACTTCAGAAATTATAACTCCGCTGCAATGAGAATCTGAGGGTGTTTTTACCAAGCTGTGATGTGGGTCTGCAGTCATCAGGCTACATGCAGCACAAAAAGCCCTCTACCTAATGCATTCTTATCACTTTATCCTAACTTAAGCTATATTGTCTCATCTATGTTGCTGTCTCTCACACACTCTCTCTCTCTCACACTCACACACACATCACTTCATGACTCCATGTAGGCTCGTGGACTTTAATGTCTTAGGAGAAGCAGATTTGGGTTTCAAGGAGTTTTTTTTTTTTGGTTGCATTTTCCCTGAAACGATACTCACGGGAAATGTTGTGCTCTCCTTGTGCAGCAGAAATGGAAATGTCCATACAAGATGTCCAGCTACTGGAAGTGGGACTGTAAATGTGATAAACGGTTTTTCCTCGAGGTCCACTCTGTAAGATGGTTTTAACGTTCGGAAATGGGAGAAATGCCCAGTTACTAAGACAAAGTTAGGTCCCCCTATTTTCTGTTTGCATCAGCAGATGCAGCCCTAACCCTAACCCTGCTGCGGGATTGTTTAACATAAGAAATACATGCTGGTAATGAAATCAAAATATCGCCTCTCCATATTGGTTAACATTGGACGATTAATTGGTTAACATGTTAATCTGTGTGTCTAGTATAGAGCCATCCCTTTTTATTAAGTCTTATGAAATCTTCCAAGGATCAAAGTAGGTGTCTTTTACCGTGGGGAAGCTATCCGTTTGTTATGTTGGACAGCACTTGTGTTCACTTCGCAATCTGAGCTTGCACTTGAAGGATCCCGGCAGGCTGGCGGTCCTTTTGTTTTGTGCTTCTGGAGGGACTCCAGAGCAGAAGTGTCTGACCTCCACGTCCCTTTACACGCCGTTCCCCAGCAGGATTCCTCTGCACATATGGCTCCCTGATGCATAACCTGCCCGGTGACAGGGGCACGGCTGCTGCTCCGTGTGTGTGGATGTGTGTGTGTGTGAGAGAGAAAGAGGGAGAGAAACGCGACACACAGGATTCCCTGTGGGTTCTTTTTTTTTTTTTTTTTATACAAAGAGCTTCACCCTGAATGAAATGAATTACAGAGAAAAAAACTAAGCCCCGCCAGGTTCCACCGTGCTTTTCAAACTGTTCAACCTCAATTGTTAACTATGACCTCATTCTGACAACTCAAAAAAAGATATTTGTAAAAAACAGATTGGTCTTTTTTCGGGGACCTGACTCACTGATGCCAAGTTCCAAAAAAGTCTGAATTATCATCACAGCAGTGCAGATGGCAAACATACACACTGGAATGAGAACCCCCTCTCTTCTTTAACCTTGGCTCCCATTGCTTTTGCTTCATTTCCTGTCCTCTTGTGTTCCCACCGTAACCCATTTATCTCTGCCTCTGTGCTCCTCTCTTCTCCCCCCCGGTCCCGTCCCGCACAGCGGGCTGGACTTGGCGCCGGTGGCTCGGCTGCGGAGCTCGTGGGAGAAATTGCCCAGCAAGTACGAGAAGCTCTTCGGGGACCTGCAGGACGTCTTCGACCCGTCCAGGAACATGGCCAAGTACCGCAACGTGCTGAGCAGCCAGAGCATGCAGCCGCCCATCATCCCGCTCTTCCCCGTGGTCAAGAAGGACCTCACTTTCTTACACGAAGGTAGAAAAAAGGTTTTGGAGGCCACAGATTCTTAAGGTTCCCTTTTTTGACCCAATTAGCTTTATTTTTTGAGAATGACAGGTTCAGCTTTTGTGTTGCATATTTCCTCTGTGTGAGGAGGGAGGTCACATTCGGGTTCACTCAGGTGGCTCACTTCCTCTTAAGGCTTCCCCCTATGTTGCCACGTTTTTTGAACGCAGCAAACTAAAAACAAGTCATACCGACACAAACAGACTTCTCCTTTAAAGGATTTCTGTAAAATAAGATAGTTGACTGATGACGCCGGAAGATTCCCCAGTTGTGTAAGCGTCAAAAATCCGAAATGAAAACCCCAGAATTGCCACGGGGAGACTAAATATGGAGGCAAAGCCTTTGATCCCCTGCAGGAATAACAATGAAGAAAGTAAAATAAAGAGGTTTTCACTCTGAGAAATGTTCAGTGATATTAATCATTCATACAGTGTTGTTGACGGCTCGGTGCTTAATTGCTGTGCTTTTTTCTGTCTGTGCTCGTGATCGGCGCCCCTCAGGCAACGACTCCAACGTCGACGGCCTCGTGAACTTTGAGAAGCTGAGGATGATAGCCAAGGAGATCCGGCACGTGGTCCGGATGACCTCGGCCAACATGGACCCTGCCCTCATGTTCAGACAGAGGTCGGTTGTCAAACTAAATAACGGAGCTCCTGCAAAAACCTGTTTTTTAAATTTTTATTTATGTGACCGCAGCTGATCGAGGCAGTCCCACAAGTATTATCAAGAAAAAGTCGAGCTTTTTATACATGTCTCAGGACACAGACACTAGTTACCGTATTGTGACTCTCTACATTTAGCTTCCTGTCTAAAAATAAGCTAATTCGGTGCCTCTTTGAAACTGGCTCTTCCTGTTTCCCCTCAGCCACACTGCAGCAAATGTTCTCAGATCGAAACCCCCCCCCCCCGCCATGGCTGCGTATAATGCTACGTTCTCACAGACTTTGCCTCTGAAGGCTACAAATGTTGGCAAAAAGGAAACCACAGTTCCCCATACTTCCACCGGCCATGCTGGATCCCTCACCAACGGGATCGGGCACACACTAAGGCCCTGGTGCGATCGATTCCCATTTGCTTCCTGCCTGATTCATGGCCCTCTGTGTCGGGATTGCATTCCTCAGCTGGAATGTAACCACCTGAGAACACAAGTCATGGATTAAAAGGAATCGCTGTTGGAATTGATGCCAGCCGCAGTGTGTCGTTTTTTTTTGTCACTCAGTTTTGTGTGTGTTTCTCACAATCTTGTCACTGCGGCGGTGCATGACTGCCCCCCGGAGACACTCCCTCCAAACTGCAGCTCAGGGCCTCACGGCAGATACTTGAAACATGTTTCTTGATGTTGTTTAACAGCATCTCGCATATGAAAAGTGTTTTTTTTTTCATAGCCAACAACCTGCTGTTGTGAGTCTGTATCGCACAAAGCCCCAGCACACACACAGTTTAGGTTGAGAAAGGGGAGATGTCCCTCATCTGGTGTCTTCCCATCTCCAGTCATTTCCTGTTTGTGTGTGGCATGAACTCTCATAGTCTTGTCTCCTCCTTGCCCCCCCCCAAATCGTTGAACTGGTCTTTAAATCACGCTTCAATCTTCACGCCTCTTGCTTGCAGGAAGAAGAGGTGGAAGAGTTTAGGGTAAGTTTGTCCCGGTTACCAATTTGGACCGGCAGAAATTTAATCCACCTGCATCCCGTCCCCCCCCCCCCTGCCCCCCCCAACTGTCATGAACGCTGCATGTCTTATGTGTGTGTCTCAGCCTGTGCTTCTGTGTGATTAACCCTTCCATTCGCAGTGCCCATTCATACCAACCATACTGAAGTTCATCGCTCATCCATTATTCGTCTGCCATGTTCATCAGATTGTATGTTTGAGTCATATAGTAGCTTAAAGTCACACTCAAATGAATAATTTATGGCATAGTTTTTGTCATTGTAATTCAAGGCAATGCTGTCCGTGAGGAAATAATAAGAATACAAGACAATGTAAAGTCACTGCTTTAGAAAATTTGAGGTGATTAGCTGTAATATTTAAAGAACACTTTTAAAAATGTCCTCCTCCTACGTGTATTCAGCCTCACGTAGAGCTTATCAGCTGTATTTTAGTTGGACCTAAAGGTTGATGTGAGCGTGAGGCAGGACAAACCGCACCTGTAGCCATAACAACAGTCTCAGGAGAGGCTCCGAATCCCTGGACACACACACACACACACACACACACACTGGCCACTCGCTGCTGACAGAAACCATTTTCATTGGAAATCTGTTGAAGCGAGCGGTAATATGAGACACAGATCTCTCATCTGAGAAGGGATTATAATCCAACATAACTCTTAGGCTGACTTTTAAAAGAAGCATCAGCTCCAGATTTATGCTTTAACTCCATCTGCTGGTGAAAATCATGTAACATCGAAAAACTTCAGACTGACCTTTGGAGGAAAAAACATGTATTAACATGTATAACATGTATTTGCAGATACTATTTGACTCAGGTTTGGTGTTTGTTCATATCTGCATCCCACCGTAATACCCCTCATGTTGAGTACTATGCTTCTTTTGTTTCCTAACCCTTTTTGCCTCCATCTGACAGAATGTTTTGCTGTTCTGTACTGTGATAGCATGGCACATTAGGGAGCGCTGCCTTCCCTCCCAGCTGCATGGTCCTGTAAAAAAAAAATGCTGTGTCCCAAAACAGAGGCCGATGTACAGATTTTACACCTTAGGTGGAATTTCATCTTTGAAAAAATTAGGCTTTCCCGTTTTATTTGATAGCACTGGTCTATATATGTTTTAATTTCTCCTCTCAATCTTGTCTTTTTTTTTTTTTTACAATTTCTACTTCTACATCTCTGCCCCCTAATTAGATCTTTGAGTCAGGGCAGCACCAACTCCAACATGCTGGACGTTCAGGTCGGCGCCCACAAGAAGCGCGTCCGGCGCAGCTCTCTGCTCAACGCCAAGAAGCTGTACGAGGACGCTCAAATGGCCCGGAAGGTGAAGCAGTATCTCTCTAACCTCACCGTGGAGACGGACGAGGAGAAACACCAGATCATGTCCCTCCAGTGCGAGCCGTCCTACAGCACCTGTAAGCATCTAGTCTTGTCTTTGTTGTTTGTTAAGGTCGAAAATAGATTAAAAGTTTTACGTGGTATGTTGTGGGAAGAACTTTTTTGCCTGTCCATAAGAAAGACTTAAAGGTAAATTACTTTAACCTCTTGAGACCCAAGGTACATGGGATTAGTAGGACCTGATATGTTTAAGGAAGTGGCTTTTCCTCATATAGGGAGAGTGGGTTTATATTCCTGAAAGACAAAGTAAATATATGATTGTTTGAAAACCTATAAAACCAGTGTCTACCAAAATCATTTCTTTGGGTTTCAGCCTGCACTGCCACCTGGTGGTTGGAAAATGTTGTTCAGAAAACGCCTGACTTGCTAAAACAATCACAACATGTAACCTGGTATTTCATCCCATCTCTGCTGAAACTGCTTAATATACTTGATAATAATTTCTCTTTATAGGGAAGCCTAAATGTATAGAATGCTCCACTTCACTTTAAAGAAAGCCGAGCATCAGAGAAGACAACCTCATCTCTCTTGACGGGAACAATTTAGCTGTTTGGTCCCATAAAATTAGAGTCGTCATCATGTTTACATTCATTGGTGTTGTCACCAGCGTGTGCGTTGCTTTGATTTAAACTTTACTTTGCAAGCACTGACGAGGGATTTCTGTTAATGCTAAGCAACAGGCGCACAATCCAGTTGTAGCAACAACAATATTAGAAACACTCCAACAGATTTTAAAGGCCCCTCAGATCCAGTTGTTCAAAATCAGCATTCAGCTGTCATTAATACAGAATTTTAGGATGAAAATGCTGAATGTTAAGTTGTAATGTTTTGTAGGAAAACCATGTTCCCCTTGAGGGGAGGTGTTTTGGGTGCGATCTTGTCAACTATCATACCTCACATTGCAAGTTTGAAGGGACCATGAGTTATAAAGTCCAGGCTAAAGTGTATATTTTTTAATCTCCCCACTTTCTTTTTCAGTGAGCAAGAACCTGAACGAGAGGCGATCCACAAAGTCGGACATGTCTCCGGTGTCGCTGCGGTCGGCTCTGCCTTCAGGAAAAGCTCAAAACCGGGTGTCACAGGTCCTTCAGGTCCAGGTCCCTCTGAACCCTCTACGGAAGAAGAGCACAGCCAAAGACATCGGCGCATCCAGTGAGCAGCCGGATCTAAAATTTGAGCCGTGATCGTCGTGCTTTTCTACTCCGATTAGGGTTTAAGTCGCGGGCCGGCACTCAGGTTTGTTTCCTTTTTCTTTTCACCAGACTCGAACTCGCCCCAGGTGGTGAAGAAACCTCCAACGACCTCATCGGATGAGTGGAACGCCAAGAGACCGTCTGATGACACGGTTTCCACCATCTCGTCCCTTCACTCCAGCCCCACAGTGTCCCCTCAGGGCTCCCCGCGCAAAGGTCCAGAACGCTAACTTTGCACCCACTGTGATGTGTTTTGTCATTTCCTCGCGGACAAATAGTTAACAGTTGTATGTACAACTATTCCAAGTTGTTAGAAAGGCCTTTATTTTTATGTTTTCCGTCCTTTTGAATTCCTCTTTCAGTGGGAGGCGTGGCAAAGTCCCAGAACTCCAGCCAGATGAACTTGTCCGGGTCCTCCTCGTCGCTGACCAGCGACGCCAGCACAAAGACGGGCACGGTCAGCCTGCGCAGCTACGGCATAGGTGGGGCCCTCCTCCACAAGAGGATCCTGCAGATGACCAGGCAGCACAGCCGAGAGAGCAGCAGGGACAGGGAGGCAGAGCAGGAGGAAGGCGGCGAGGACGCCGCGCAGCACGAGTCCCAGGCAGCGCAGGGAGGCTCGAGTTTATCAGAGCCAAGGCGAGGAAGACCCAGGCAGCAGAGTAGGCGGGCTGCTCAGGCAGATGCAGGGCCGGCCATGCTAAGAGCGAGATCAGGAAGCCCAGCAGGGATTTGTTTCGGGACGCGTATAGAGCGTCCCGCGGTCCACACCGGGTCTCTGCCCAGACCTTCAGGTCTGGAACTCAACACCCTATCCCCGCCTCCCTCTCCTTGTTTCACGAGGCCCAAAGCGCCCGAGTCGCCCATCAGGACGAGGCTAATGTCGCCCCTTAGAAAACTGAGGGAGAGGAGTCAGTCCAGGGACAGGCCAGAAGAAAAGAGAACTGAAGGAGCAGCAGCGTCTTCCCCTCAGGTTGAGGCAGAGCAGAGAGCCAGGAGATCAGCCAGCCCCAACCCCTTCCTCTGGCTGTGCAGAGACAGACACGCCAGGAGAAAGACAGTCTGAGCCACTTCCAGCCCAGTTAGGGATCAGAACCAAGAGAGCCTCTCACACTGGGTGTAATCCAATCCCAAAACGGGCTGTAGTTTCTTAAATTTCAACGCCATGGACAGAGTTTTATTTCTGTCGCCTGAGTCTTATTTTCATCAAACGTAGTTTGTTTGGGTGAGAAATTGGATATCATGCTAGATCCTTTTCAGATATAGATGCAGTTGATGTGGGTGGATCTGATATTCCTATTCAATGGCTCTGGTTTTGTGGCTTTTGTAGCTTTCAAAGCCCCTTTCAATTCATCCTTGTGAATTCATCCAGATATGTAGAAGCCTCTCTGGTTCCTCCATAGAAATATCATCTGAATAAGATGTATAAATGGTGGTTAGGAGTTTGTCACTCAAAGTCCTCATTTGGATTAGCCCATTCAAACATGGCCACAAGCGTTGTCTATCTGACATTTGGCATAATTGCCATGAAAGAAGATTAGAGGTACCAATATTTGTATGTAAGCACTTACGAGCAAGTTGAGCACGTCTGATGAAATGTTTGCTTGTGTTCCGGGAGCATTCGATGGTCATAAACTGTCATAAAAGCCATGCAGCTGGAGCGTAGAGTCCTTAAATTTCGTGTTTTGACCACAAATGACGAGTGTGAATCACAAAAATTGCACTTTTACAACAGAAAACTCCAGACCTAAGTGTTGTTGGCCACTGCAAGTTGTAATTTATTTTAGTCAGCATGTTCATTTCACTCCTCAATTATATATTTTTATATATATATAAAGTTCAAGCTCTGACTTAAATGATGTTTCACAGTCATTTCAGCCCAAACAACATTTTCTCTGTGTGTTCACACAAGAAAACAGCGTCCTGACCTGTCAGCCTCCCATTTTTTCTAACCCCCCCGTGTTGTACTGCAGTTAAAGAGGATTACCGAGGGCTTATTCGTGTTCCTGGCTGGTTTGATGGCAGGTATTGTTAAGCATTGCCTTTAAAAACGGTCAACAGAAGAACAGTTGGCCGCAGTAAAGGTTTATTTGTTGCCACGCAGGGTAAAAATATCAACACATTTATTCGTTGTTACAGTCTGCATCCTTATCTGAGCATCCAAAATGCGTCTCCCCCCCTTACTCTGCAGGTTACGCCCTCCTCCCGACCGGGAAGGCGGACAACCTGTCGGACTCCAGCCACAGCGAGATCTCCTCTCGCTCCAGCATCTGCTCGGTGGACTCGGTGCCGCCTCCTGGGCCCGAGGACCGGTGCGGCAGGAGCTCTGCCTCCGCCGCCGTTCCCCCCTCCGCTTCTGCTACATTAGCCCCCGCGGTGGCAGAGAGCTCGCATGCACACCTGAACGAAAACTACAGCCAGCCCAGCACAAGGTAATCCACCTCACGTCAACATGTGTAGTCTCTGAAGCACACAGTAAAGCACAGACTGGTCTGTTCGTAGAGCAGAAGCATTTGAGAAAACACATGCCTAAAGTAGAGTGTAGGGAGGATGCTCAAGCTATGGAGGAACTATGGAGACGGCCTGACAGACGACAAAAAAGCGGATGTTCATGATAGGGACAAGGTATACCCTAGCTGTAAAGTCTGGAGGGAGACAGCCTGGTGGTGGACCAAAAAAGGGAAAAGACAATGGAAAAGATATGGATAAAACCATATTCGGGCTGACATGAGACAAAAAGTACAGATACAGGATGACCAAATATAAGGGCACACACACCAGAGATGGACAGAGTTTTGTCTGAGACTTCTCCAAACTTCATCCATCAGTCTGTACTTCTGACATCGGACCTGGCCGACAATGAAATCCTCTTTTTGTTCGACCAAGTCTGCCTCGGCAGAGTTTTTCCGGCAGCACCTGATGATTGAGCTATTTGAAGACGATCATCCCATAATTCACCCACACGTGGATGATTGATGTCTGAAGGAGGGCAGCAGGTGGGGCTCCTTCAGACGATAAGACACCTGCTCCTCCTCGTTCTGACGCCCGAGACGAACTCGGTTTAAGCCAGGGGAAGACGTCAGGGCTCAGATGTTCTCTGGTTGTCAAGAAAAGTTTGCCATCCACTCTTCCCGAGCAGACAAATACCTTTTGTGCTCCCCCCCCCCCAGTCACAGCCTGTAAGTTATGTGCTGTTAGAGATTTGAGCGATTTGACAGCAGCTCAGCTCGTCTGAAGGACGTCTGAGGATGCCTGTTCCAGATATTTGACGGCGCGTGTGTTTTTCTTTACTGCCACGACTCGTGCCGCCACCCACCCCACGCTCTGCCCACAAAAAGAAAAAAAAAAAGAAACAGTCCACGCACACCATCTGCTTCCATTCGCCACTCCTCATTTCCTCCCCCAGCTGCTTTCCAATTACCTCTCGTCCGTATTAAAAGTCAGAGACCAGGAAGTTGTCATAAAATAACAGCTTTTTATTAGCCGCCCGCATTCGCCGCCCTCCTCTTTTCATTCCTTTTTTTTTTTTTTATCCGTGAACGAGGAATTGTTTCGGCGTTTTAATCCGGCCGAGTAAACAGCGCAGTTGTGCTTTTTTATTGTCTGCCGTTTGTTTATTGTTTCTTCATGATCGGGCCATCCTGTCTCGTAAAGACGGGGCCAGAACAGCTCCCCGTCTGATGGATTGCCTCGTCAGCCCCGCCGTATAACGCCAACCCGATTTAATGAAATATTCCCCGGCGTCACAGACCGGCCTGTTTGTCCCGTAAAACGGAAGCCAGCGAATCAAAATGCGGCCCCAGACCGGACGCCTTGACCGGCTTCAATCCATTTAAGTCGGAGTCGTGACTCGTCGGGCTGAACGTGCCGTCAGTTTTTTTTGTTGTTTTTTTTTTTTTTTTCCTCCTTTTCCGAAACGTCAAAATTTTTCATCCTCCTCATTTGTCTTCGTCTCCCTATTTCCTCTCATTTCATACTTGGTTCATTTCTGTCCTTCAGACAGTTTTGATACTTTTTGTGTTGCTTTCTTTTGTACTTTTAGGACTTGTTTGTGTGTGTGTGTGTGTGTGTGTGTGTGTGTCTGTGTGTGTATGGACCTGTTTCAGTACTTTTTAACTGTCACACACTTGGATTTATGTGGGAGAATGAACGCACTCGACAGAGTTTCCTAACTTTTCCTGCTTCCATCCATCCGATGACACATTAACACAATGTAATGAACCAAGAGTTGCTGAGAGGTCTTGACACCCCCCCTGGCAGGCCTGCTACCTGGAGCTGTCTCCCTAAGAGGCGATGCGGGCTTTCGGTTGGCTTGCCTGTCATTAGGTTGATATGGGGGCGGGTCAGATTTCCCTCTCTGAACTGCACCTCCTGATCTTTATAGCTTTTCTCCTTATCTGAGAGCTCCTTTGAAGTTTTTTTTCCCCTCCTTTTGTCTCAAACTGGCAGTTTTGTGTCTTGGATCAGTTCCTCCTGTGTTTTTCATTTCTTTGAAAAACTTTTTAAATGACTGCTGATGGTTAAAAAAAAACAAAAACCAAATAGTTCTGTTCTGCTTTGACTCTGGTGTGCATCAGTACTGCCGACTTGCTCTAAAAGTGAGCAGTAAATGTTGGATACAATAGCATGTATACAGGCCTGGTTTGAGATTTTGATTATATCTGTGAGCATATGAGGGAATTATCGTTTCGTCGAGTAATAGAGCTGATTCATTTTGATTATCAGGGTGTAAATGATTGGCTATCCAGGTTTAACATAATCTTACACCTAATCTTACATCTAACATAATGTGGCAACACGTTTTCTCTGTGTTCCGCTTTGTCTGTGGTCAGCTCCTCCTCCTCGGCCCGAGGCCCCACACCGCGAGGCTGCGCCTTCATCTCCTCCAACTCCACCGAAGAGCTGACCCCGGACCACGCCTCCCTGGACTCGGTGGCGGACAGCGGCCGCGGCAGCTGGACGTCCTGCTCCTCCAACTCTCACGACTCCTTCCAGAGCCTGCCGGCCTCCTCCTGCAGGCCCTGGGACCACGGCATCCACGGCCACCCGCTGGCCCTGCCGCACGCCCACCTGGCCGCCCTAAAGCACCCGCACCCGGCCAGGCCCCCCGCCGCCGAGCCAGACGCCACCGCCGCCCGACCGGCGTGGGCCGGAGAGGACAACGCCACCGCCAAGCAGCACCCCAGAGACTCGGCCCCGGAGCCGCCCGGCCAGCTGCGGCAGAGCTGGGCGTCGTCCAGCTCGCTCTCGGACAACTACGAGGGGAACTACGGCACGGTGAGGCGGAGGAACACCTCGGACACGCCCTCCTCGCCGGTCAGCGAGGAAGGAGGGCAGAGCGTGGACCCCGCCTACAAAACGGTGACGTCCAGCACGGAGAAGGGCCTGATAGGTGAGGCGTTTGATTTCCTCCGTAAACGGCAGCAGCCTGAGGCAGCTTGTGTGTTTAATGCGAATATCCGAGTGTCTGTATTTAATATTCAGCCCACGAGCCGCCGCCCAAATGAGCCGAATGTGATTTTAGATAAATTACTGCGGCTTTTTTTTTTTCAAACTCTTTCTTTACGATGGAGCGAACAGGTGGCAGGCGCTCCTCTCCTTAGATGGTAAATCTCTCTCTCGTTGCCGTTGGCTCCCCCTCTGACAGGAGTTATGGAGCGTGCTCGTCAGCCACAGCGTTAATCTGCACGTTTTAGTTTAACGAGGATCACAAAATCTTTCTGCGTCAGTCACAGGGTTTGCACAGATTTGTCGAGCAGGTGTAAAAAAAAAAAATGGATGCGAGAAGAAATACTGATAAACAATCAGTCTTTGTCGGCATGAAGTCTGTTTATGCTGTAAATTTACATTTTTAGGGGGATTTTAGGGTCGGTCGGGTTTGATGGGTGTTGATTTATTTTATTTTTTGTGGTTATTCTGGTGTTTAAGGTTATAAAAAAAAAAGATTTATCGGGTAAATAACAGAAATGTCAGTTGGTGGCAGATCTGTACACCCCATTCATCTCACTGTCTGTTATATATTTTTCTTTCAACACCGTGGCGCATGTATGCTACAGACTTGCTTTTTTGTTAAGGAAACATCACCTTAATTTAAGTTTTCCATTATTTTCTTTTTGTTTTTTTTTCCCCTTGGCATTCCACACCACTCATGATCCCCTCTTTCTTTGCTCCACCCTCCCCCCCTCCTTTTATTCACCACACCATCCAGTGTACTGTGTCACCTCCCCCGCAAAGGACGAGCGTTACCGAGCTCCCCCTCCCACCCCTCCAGGCTACCAGGGTCTGGCCCTGGGGGACCTGGGCCTGGTGGACGGAGTGACCGGCGGCGGGCCGGGCTCTCCGGCCCCTCGGCCCCCTCACCTCAAGCCGCCGGACTACAGCGTGGCCCTGCAGAGGAGCAAGCTCCTGCAGAGCCCCGGGGCGGCGGGGGGGCTGGCCGAGGCCCGGCGGCTGCAGCTCCGGCACCAGGACGCCCGGACGGCGGCCGGCCACTCCAGACCGCCCAGCGTCTGCCGCCCGCCCCAGGAGCTGGCCGACAGCGAGGACGGTAGGTCCCCAGCAAGGACCCGTTTGTCCATTTATTCGCTCATTCACGTGGTGCAGTTCTCTGAGAGGGGATGCTGTAGGGCTCACAAACATATTTTCGTATTCTTTTTTTTTTGTGTGTTTTTCTTTAGTATACAGAGAAAAAAAGGCAGAAATTAATCAAAGTTATTGATAAGAAATGTAAGTATTTTTAAAATCATTTCACGTCGTAGTGTTGTCTTTGACCAGAGACAGTGGACTCCCAGATCTAGAAGTTTTCTCCGGGTCCAGAACGCATGTGTAATTGATCATTTCGTGAAGTTAGCACGCAGTTAGAGAGTCTTTTCCCCGTCGTAACGGTGCTAGCTTTAGCAGAGAGCATGCCGCCACGCCCAATCACCTCGAATCCTGCCGACTTCCCGCCGACTCACGGCCGTCTCTCTCTCTCTTTCAGACGAACAAGTGTCAGCGGTGTGAAGACGAGCGCCCGACGCGCGCCCGCCCCACACACACACACACACACACACGAGCAGCGTCGACCGGGCTTTCGGACTGAACCCAGCGGCCCGCACGCCAGAGCACACACCGTCCAGGCCCCGCCCCCCTGACCCTTTTAGGGTCACGTGACCTGTTTCCACCTGTTTCGCACACTCGCCTCTTTTTCGAGCCCGCCTCGCAGACGAGGACGAACCATTTTAGACGCTTCTCGAAAACTCTGGAAATAAAGGCGGCGTGACGGGGTCACATGGCAGAAGACGGCGTGGAATCAAAGAGTGGCTTCAACGTGACGCCTCGTTGGAAACAGACCACCACATACCTCCATTTTGCGCTCCAAGCTCACTCGTCTAAAGGTGTTTCATATTGTTCTTACAGTTTAAAATGTACAGAGATAGTTTTTAGTTTTGTTTTTATTTGCTTCTATTATTATTCTTCCTTCTCTTTCGTCGCATCTCTGAGCTTTTTGCGTGCGACAGTATGGCAAACGTGAGCTTTGGGATTGTTCTTTTGCTTTGTTTGCGGTTTGTGATCGATTTAAAAGAGGAATGTAAATGACTGAGATCATCCAATGGTTTAAAAAAAAAAAGATAATATATGTTTTGAGATTTTTAAATGAGCATTTTTCGGGGTCTGCAAACCCAGGCACCGACACACTGGTGTGAGGAAAAATCAGTTCCCAAAAAGCCCTGCGTTGTAGGTCAGGAAACCCCTCAGGAGCCACGATAAGCCCCCCATGCCTTTCTTTTTTACTTTAATTTTTTGATTAACCACCTATTCATTTGGAAAGGAAGAGAAATGAGCCTGAGAAGTAACAGAAAGCATATTCTGTCTGTGTTTAGCACTTATCTGTTCTTTGCTTAGCTTGAGGAAACAGGACAGGCAGCATCTCTCAGGCAGTTCTCCTGCGTCTGCGTGTGTGTGTGCTCTCCTCTTCCTCCTCCTCCTCCTCCTCCAAGCCACAACTTCTCCTCCCGCTAGTTCCGTCAGATGTTTGAGGTACTTTAGCAGCATGCTGCCTCCTGGATGTTCTATAAAATCTGTATTATAACTTGTTTTTATTAAGCTGAAGAACAAATGCCTCGCTGCTTCCAGTAGAGTCAAATGTGTGTGTGTGTTTGGTTATTTTATTGCAGCAGCTGCACTAAAACGATAAATTAGCGCCGCGCGGTCACAAAACACAAACACTCCCAGACCCTAAAAAATCGTGGTTGTTGTGCTTAGACAAAGGGCCGTGTTTACGCCAATGCTTACATATTTTGTTTACAGTGTTTATTAGACTAGTTGTCTATGAAATTACAAGCTGGAATATGTAATGCTCCAGGTTTAGTTGTAAATTAGCTCGTAACGCAGCTGGAATACACAGATTACTCGTGCTCAGAGTTGTACCTCTCGTCTCAGTTTTTTTTCTTTTTTTTGCTCCTTATTTAAAACAAACTAAAACAGAAAAAGCCAGCAGGCGTGTTTGTAACGCCTGTAACGGTCCATTCCATGTCGAATATTTAAATGATCTGCTTTAAGATTGTTTATTTGTGTCAAAAGCGGCGTGAATTTGTACATTTGGACAGAATTTTCTTTCTCCCGTTTATTTTCATATTTCAGTTTGGCAAGGATGTAACTGGAATCAGACAGATCTGTTTGTCTTTTGTCTGTATATATATATGTGTGTGTGTATATATATATAAATATATACATACACACACACCCGCCATCAGCTCATGTAAACTGACTATGTGCAGATGAGTGAGGAGACTCCTCTATAAAGAGTCTTTATTGTATAAAAAACAATCTGAGGTTGTGATTGCCCTATTGCTGTTGCAGGGCAGGAGTCTTTAAAGAATTTGCTTTGTTTTGTTCTCATTTTTAAAAAATTTTTATGGTGTTTTTCCTTTCTCTCGCTCTGCCATTGCTGCCGTTTCTGAACTTTTGAGTTTTAATGCTGCTGTGTTTTGGGATGTGCCTCTGTGTGTGTTGTGCGTGTGTGTGTGTGTGTTGGGTGGGGTGTGTGTGTGTGTGTGTTTGCCTGTGTCGTGGAGTTCTATTTGCGAGCTTCGGATCAAAATCATTCTCCTTTGTCGTTTCTAAACCCCCATTTTGTTTCAGTCTCAGGGTGCAGCACGTGTTCCACTTTCAACAAAGGCCCCTCTTAGTTATTTTTTTTCCTTCTTCTTGATGGGTTTCTGTGCGAGGGTGAGCCTGCACGCTGAAATGAGTTTTTCGTACGGTATTACATCCCTGCCTGTTTGAATGTTGAACCTTCCACCTCCATCCTCGCTGTGCTCATCTGATGTATTTCCCTCTGTTGATCGAGATGTTTACGCGCACCCTCAGTCTCCACTGTGACGCTCACCTCAGGCCCTTTTCTGTTCAGTTTTTTTTTTTTAAAGAATATTTATTTGCACAACTGTCCTCCTAGCAGTCTTAACCCCAAATCAGTATTATGAAAACTACTTCTTTCAGCAGTCTGCCCAGGTTTTATGAATAGTAAAGCGGAATGAGACGTCCATTGAGCTGCCTTCAAATGTTGGATCGAAGCCAAACGTCCAACAAGTTACGTTTACGTAGTAGGTATGTTTTTGTAGTTTCCCTTTGCCGTGGCACGTGTCCAAAAGGACTTTCATACCTCACAGTCAAATATCTCAGAAAGGCCAACTTTAAAAAAAAACAAAAGTTTTCTCATTCTTCTCTCCACGTTGTCTTTTTCCCTCCTCAAACATCCCGAGCAGGTCGTTGTTTCTGCCTCCACACAAAAGGAGGACGTGCCGATTCTGATTGTAATTTAGCTTCCCCCCCCGCCGCGTTTTCCTGGAATGCAATAAAAGAGATGTGAATGTGTTTTTTTGGTTCTTTTAGGCGTTACAGCGGAAAATGCACAACAATAAGCTTAAATGTGGTGAGTGAGCAGCACAATCTGTACAAAAAGAGGCGTCGACTCGATCTGTGGCTTAAAGTTTGCTTTGGTCTCACACGTGTAGCTGTTGTAACTTATGTCTTTTAGAAAGACAACATGATTTGGCTCGTATGCTTTGTATGTATTTTTTACAAGTGATTGTAAATAATTGTTATATTTTTGTTTAAGAGAATGTTTAAAAAAGAGAAGAAATAAATGCCTTTTATTTCTCTGAGTCTACTGATATGAATTTGGACAATGAATAAAACGTTAAACTGAAAGCCTTTAGAGTCTTTATTGTTAGTGCTTACAGTTGGAACATACTGGTTTTCCTCTAAAGACAATTCAAAGGAAACAGTTGTCTCACCCACCCCTAATCTTTAATAAATTATTAGGTTTAAGCAACTCAAAGCACTAAGATAATATGAAAAAAGCAGATTCGTGGCTTATGATTTTCTGTAATAGATTAAGCTTTGAAGATATGCAGCCAGGAGAAAATATAGGACACATTCAGGTTGTAACCAGATGATGGAGCTGGAGGTTTGTGGATAACCTGTGTGATCACAGTATGCCTTAAGGACATGTTTAATATTTGTGCACCACGTTTTTAGCCATGCATCAATTAACGTTTGAGGTATTTCGCTGAAAAACAAACCCAACGGAGAGAATGGCTCCTCATCTGAGGCCATCCCTCGTCTGAGCCAGAATAATCCGAATTTGAGATACTCCAGTCTAAAAACACTAAAGTTTTCACCTGAACAAAATTTTGTTACCCCTTTTTTTATTTTTTTATGAAGCCTTGAGGAGTAAATCTTCAGAAAAGAGCGCTCTGATCTCTGCATGCGCTGTTCAGATATCTTTACCCTCTCGGCTTTCTGCTGCTGTCAGCACTTTTATCAGATCTGAGCCGAGCTGGAGAGCACCACACAGAGCTCAAGGTCAATCCGCTTTTTTTATTTTTATTACTTGTTACAGGTTTACTGTCGCATCGAGAGGCTGGCTGAGCTCCGTCTGTGTGGGATGGTGCGTTTCTACGTACCGCCGGCTGAACTAAACACAATCATACAGTTCGTCTGCATCTGATCAACCACAGGAATCAAGCCGTTATCACTAAGTGTGTTTGTCTGCACATCAGCTTTTAAACAACCTCTAAATTGCCTGGAAACACACAATCTGTGCGTACAGGTGTAACCTAACCACACTGATGTCAATCATTATGAACAGTTTAAATCCTTTAAATTCAGTTTTTTTCTTTCATCTTGGGCTCCAGCAGCCAGAGGTAGAATAGCATGCAAAGGATGGATCATATTGAGGATTTCGGAGCCAAACAGAAAACGTATGAAAGATCTTTTGGAGCTGTTCAGGACACGTTGTACAGATGACGAACTGGACTGGACTGCTAACACAGACGGTATCCACCACAAAAGGACGGAGTCGCCTTTACCTTCTGAAGAGACTTAGGTCCTTCAGTGTCTGTAAAAAGCTGCAGTATCAAAAGGAGGGACGCTTGACATTTCGGACAGTCTGGTGAGGACGGCTGGATCTGTGGTGGGGTCAGAATTGGACACCCTGGGTCAGCGGCAGAGAGACGGACCCTGGAACAAACCTTTCCACCCTGGATGACACAACACAATAGGAAAATCTCTAGAATTTGCTATTTTCCAACTTTAGGTCTTAGAATAAAGACATTGGAAAGTCTTTTTGTCACTGGTAATGGCTTATCTCTCCTTTCACTCCCCAGGTACCCCTGTTCTCAAACACTGACTACAGCATTTCTCCTACTTTCTTTCTGAATAAAATCAGATATG